GGGTTATCTATGAATGGTTTACAAGCAAGTATATATGGGACATATAGGTACCACCAGAATTATTAGATATACTCATACATAAACTCAATCCAATTTTAGGGGGTATATTTTGGCACCTATAATTGTAGATTTGTCTATGAGTATATATAGTATATTTACTATATAATCTTGTCACAATCCACAATCTATACATGTTTTTTAAGCAAATCTATTTCTATTTTAAACTGAACAGCTAAACTTTTTTAAAAAAACAATGTCTCTGAACTTCATACCTGAGTTTACTACTTGAACATGTCATGATTGTATGATTCTACCATATTCCTAACTGATTCCATATGACAGACAAATGTAATATTATGCAAAGTAAATATATGTAGCATTGCTTAATTTGCATAATTTATATAGGTCATAGAATTCAGCTTCTGCACTGCAGAATGTGAACTATCTGCGTGTGGGATTCTTACAATATGCATCTTGTAAGTTATAAATTAACTTTTCCATGCATCTTATAAGTTATGCGATAGTCTGAGTACCTCCAAGTGTATTGGACTGATTCTCATAATCTCCTCAGAAACCAACATATTTGGAAGGCATTGATTTGTAGTTTGTATTATTTATATGACAGGACAATACATATAATCTCTTTATGTGTTGTGTGTGTGTGGGAAACAATATATAGATGGACAAACACTATGACTGTGTGTGTGTGTGTGTGTGTGTGTGTGTGTGTGTGTGTGTGTGTGTGTGTGCATCCCTTTGAATCAAACATGACTCCTGGTGACTGCATGGACAAATGAAGTTTTCTTGTCATGATTTTGGAAGGGATTTGCAATTGCTTTCTTCCCAGGGCTGAGAGAGAGGTCAACTTAGGCTTTGTGCCTAAGGCAGAAGTAGCTCACAAGTTCTTGGTTTCTAGCCTGATGCCTTAAATTGCTATACCAAACTGGTTCTCCATCCTTCATTAGTATAATATAATATCAATGCAGCATTCCTGAAATCCTTCAAGTCCCCATGCCATTATCCATCAAATTCTCTGGCTTTTGCAGAGAGAACATTTGAGTCAATGGAATTGCAATAAGGTTCCCTGAAATGCATTTTATGGCTTAACTGTCAGCAGGTGCAGCTGGTGTTTTGATTAATGTCATAGAAAGCAATGCACCAAATAGAGCAATTGCTTACTCTCCAATAGTTTATACATAAAAATTGGGAGATGCTTGTGATATTGTAGTTCCATGCTATAGATCACAATCACCACTCTCTTCACTATCGGTGAGGGCTTTTGATTGCTTGCTGTATGCTCCATGTATTCCTGTAATCTAGGCCAAGAAACAAGGTTATTTTTACTGACGATAATAATTCTAACAGAATTCAGCAGCTTCAGTATATCGAGTGGCAGACCATGTACAATAGGACCTCCAATTTTTTGTAAAAGTCATATTTGCATGGAATTGAGTAATTGTTGCGATCTCATTCCATTGCAAGGCACCAGGCTGGGAAGCCTAGGAATTGCATGATGTTTAAGTGTTTGTCCACATGCATTTTATGCTAGAGAAAATGCATAAGACACACAAAGAAAAACAGAGATTGAACTTCACAAAGAATAGAGGATAATCTCTGAAGAACAGTATTTTGGGCATAACTACACCAAGCTAAAATGGATTTCCTACAGCAGTGGTGGCGAACCTATGGCACGGGTGCCAGAGGCGGCACTCGGAGCCTTCTCTGTGGGTACGTGTGCCGTCGCTCCAGTGCTAGGCCTTCAGATGGGTTTTATCAAACCTTTTCACTTTAGGCCTCTCCCATGTGGGAAAAAAAAAGGTTCAATCAATCAATTTCAACTTCTTGCGGGGAAAAAAAGGTCTTGCAAAGTTGGAATTGATTGATTGAACTTTTTAGTATCACCCAGTCTGCCATTACCACCGCAGCCATGCCCACCCAATTGGCCACGCCCACCCAATTGGCAATACCCAGCCAATGGGCCACACCCACCTGGCACTCGACGATGCATAAGTGGGTTTTGGGTTGCAGTTTGGGCACTCAGTCTCTAAAAGGTTCGCCATCACTGTCCTACAGCATCAAACAAAGTAAAAAGATATCATGATAAAAAATTACATTACATTATAAAATATTTAATTATAGACATTAAGAATTAAAGTCTACAGCATATTTTTAAAAAGTGCTTTTCCACTCCACCACAATTCTGGCTAAATATTCCCAAATCCTTTATTGTACAATTGGCAAAATTACAAGAATCAGAATCAGAATAAAGGTGGAAGGGACCTTGAAGTTCTTCTAGTCCAGCCCCCTGCTCAAGCAGGAGATCCTCTACCATTTCAGACAAGTGACTGTCCAGTTTCTTCTTAAAAACCTCCATGATGAAGCACCCACAACCTCTGAAGGCAAGCTGTTCCACTGGTTAATTGTCCTCATTGTTAGAAGGTTTCTCCTTAATTCCAGGTTGCTTCTCTCCTTGATTAGTTTCTATCCATTGTTTCTTGTCCTGCCTTCTGGTGCTTTGGAAAATAAATTGACCCCCCTCCTCTTTCTGGCAGCCTCTCAAATACTGGAATACTGCTATCACGTCCCCCCCCCCAGTTCTTTTTTTCTCTAGACTAGCCAAACCCAAATCCTGCAACTGTTCTTCATTTGTTTTAATCTCCAAGCATTTAATCATCCTAGTTGCTCTTTTTTGCACTTTTTCCAAAGTCTCAACATCTTTTTTGAAACATGATGACCAAAGCTGGATGCAGTATTCTAGGTGTGGTCTTACTAATGCTTTATAAAGCAGTATTAATTACTTGACGTGATTTTGATTCTATGCCTCTGTTTATACAAGCAAGGATGGTATAAGCTTTTTTGGCTGTTGCTGCACACTGCTGATTCATGTTTCAGTGATCGTCTGCTAGGACTCCAAGGTCCCTCTCACAGTTACTGTTTTTGAGCCAGGTTTCACCTAATCTGTACTTGTACCTTTGGTTTTTCCTGCCTAAATGTAAACTTTGCTTTTCTCCATATTAAATTTCATTTTGTTGGATAGGGCCCATTGTTCAAATCTGTCAAGATATTTTTGAGTTTGTCTTCTGGAGTGTTGACTATTCCTGCCAGCTTAGTGTCATCTGCAAATTTGATGAGTTCGCCTTCTAGTCCCTCATCTAAGTCATTTACAAAGATATTGAAGAGTACTGGGCCTAAGGCAGTAGATGTAGTACCATTAAGGACTCCTCATTGAGTACGGTTTGTCAGCCAGTTAAAAATCCATCTGGTAGTAATACTATCTATACCACATTTTTCTAGCTTACCAAGAAGTAGTTGTAATCTACTTTGTCAAATGCCTTGCTGAAGCCTAAATATACTATGTCCACAGCATTTTAGTCAGTTTGTCAAAGAATGAAATAAGACTTGTTTGCATGATCTGTGTTTTTTAAAAAAACAAAGCCTCATGCTGGCTTCTAGTTATAACTTTATTTATTTCTAGATGTTCACAGATCTGTTTTTTGATTATTTTTTCCAGTATCTTCCCAGGTATTAATGTTAGGCTGATTGGTCTGTAGTTTCCTGGGTCTGTTTTTTTTTTCTTTTCCCCCCATTGGCATTAAATAGCAATTACATCAAACAGAGGCAAATTCAAAAAAGGATAGGCAATCGAGTCTGAATTCCTATCCAAATAAGGTCAGAACTGCAGTGGTCAGAATCAAAGCCTTGTTGAGAAAGAAAGGTTAATCAGATATGTTAGTAGTAGCTGTTCAGTCATTCATTCACTTCTTTGTGATCCAAGGGACATCATTTTGCCAGGAATGTCTTTCAGTAACTGCTTCTCTGGGTAATTGCAAGCTCCTGCTTGCGACAATTCTACTATTGTATGAAGTTTGAAAGTTCTGTTCATTATAGAATCAAAAGAATTTGTCATATTGACAAGACATTCCACGTGGAGAATATTCATGGGTGGGGATGAGAACAATACTTTTCCAATCTCTCAAGTGTGGGCATCTCATTGAGTCTTGTCATTCTGTACACGTTTTCCTTTTGGCAGTTTACATTACATTAAAAAATTAAAGATAATGCAGGCAGTCTTATTCTCACTTTTGTTGGTGACAATCTGTTGTGTAAATCCCATTATTACACGATTTCCATGTTCCCACTTTAATCAGTAACTTAACAAAGAACAAATTATTCAGCATATTACTGAGGGTTCCCAGATGGAAACCGCATCCCCAAGGAAAGATGGCTGCAGAAAATACAGGTGGAAAGGGAGACCTGCTGAGACTGTGTTGTGTGAAGTGCTATTTCTTGAATTTAAATACGTTTGTGTGTGTTGTGAATGCATGTGAATAAAGGAGACCTGCCAGAACAACTCGTTTGCATTAGCCAGCTCCACTGCCCTGTTGTCACAATGTGTTTTGCATCATTGCTAGGATTTGCTGATTTTGAAAACATAAATGGACCACAGCCAAGTCGTTGTATGCCTTCTATTTCACCTTGAAATACTCCCCTATTTCTGCTACTTTTTGAAGTAGAATAACAATTGGGATCAGCACCTTGGTCCTTAAATGAAGCAGTTGCTAAGTGAAACATCACAATTTTTGATGTTTTGTCTTAAATATCTGCAAAAGTCATAAATACAAGGATTGATCACAAAGTTACTTTTCTTTCACCATTGTAACGGTGAATGGTTGACAAATGACGACCACCTGTATGAAGATGAGAATAACACAGGACCTTATATGAAGGTTAGATTAAATACTATGATAAAGGATTAATATAAACATCCTCAAATACAGACAAAAGCTCTTTGAGCTTTTAGAAGTATGCATGTTGCTTTCATGGAATTTCAGTAAATGTTTTAAGTGCTTACCTTTCAAACAGAAAGGGGATGGTTTAATTCTAGGATTGGATCATGATGAAGTACAAATATGCATTGAGTGTATCCCTAAGCTTTCTGAAGGAACAGGAGCTTTTTTTTTTCTTTTCTTTTTTGTGACAATGAAGTCTGGTCTCTTTAGGTGGGCAGAAAGTATCCTTTGCAGGATCTGTTGAGGAAGTCCCTACTGGATCAGAGAAGTCAGAAGATGGAGATGCCCCAGAAGAGGAGACAAATGTGAAACAGGAAGAGGGAGATCCAACATTAACAGGTAACGAAGCTGGGCCTTGGATGCAATGCTTGCTAAAGAGCACAATGTTAGGCCTTCTCTTTTTCTACAATTTGTTGCATTTCTTCTTTTGGAAAGAACCTGATTGTATGTTTTTTTCTTATGAAGGGACTCTCTGTTATTTTCATTTTTGCTTGATGGAAGGATACGTTATTCAGTTCTTTGTTTTTACGAATCTTAAAGCCAGGGAGACTGAGAAACAGATGCAGTTCTAGGACCATGTCTGCTCATAAGGAAAGAGGCTTTTCTGAAGAGTTATAGATGCAAAACCCTAATCATGCTCTGAAGCCAAGCTTGTGACTCTATTGCTATGAAAATTCTAAATTGCTGTAGTTAAAATTATATTTTGTGAAATAGATTGGCCCAAAGACAAGCAGAAACTGTCTGTCAGTTAGTACTATATAGCCATTATTTAAAAAAAAAATCTTGAAGGAGAATTGCTTAAAGTTTTTTGAACTTTATATATTCCTTTATAGGATACATTATATACATGTATATATTCCTTTATAGGATACATTAATATGCATTTTTCTTCTAATGGAGAAATTGACTCAATTATTTGGCTGTCTGGAACTGTTTCCTTTTCAAATGTGTTCTCTTTATTAATACAATCCTTTTAAAGATATAAAGTAGTCTAGGAAATGCAATTTATATTGGTTTGGGTGGGAATTTGAGGGGGGAAAAGAGAAATCTGATTTTGATTGGAATTATGCACAATAATTTCATCCCTCTCAGCCTGGATCCTGTGAACTAGCTTCTTCATGTTCCCAATTTATTTTTATGCTGTGATTCTCAAATAAAAAGCCTGGAAATTGTAACCTTATTTAAAAAAGAAAAGGAATATTTTCACACTTTTACAAAACTTGGATTCCCATAAACCACATTTACATTGATTTGAAATAATAGTTTTAAAGCAAATTTTGCCTCTTCCTGATCTTTCTTCCCTTTGCTTCATAGATCATGACATGGAACAGAGTCACTCTGACTGGAAAGAGAGACCTCCCTGTGCTGTTAAACTGGAAAATCGTTCTTCTCCACCCCCCATCCACACCACAACCTAGCACTGGAAGTGAAGGATAGTTTGGGGAGATATCCTGTTGATGGCAATCTCTCATTTTTCACGAGACCAATTGGATTACTTCCTTTAATAACTATTTTTCCTCTCTCTTTTCTGTTTTGAATTTGTATCTTATTTGGCAGTGTTTGGTTATGTTCAGTGAATTATTCAATAGAAGGGTTGAAGGGAAGAAAGGTGAATGAAAGCTACCTAGAAATGAACCTTCACATTCAAAGGCAAGATATTTCTGAGGGCCTGTATTGTGGGCATGTGGCAGGATGGCTATTTTTATTGTGCCTTGCCAGTAGATTTCACTGCAAGGGGAGGAAGGAGGCCATCCAGTCATTGTTTGACCTTCAACCCTGGACTAGATGCTCATTTGGTCGGATCTAGCATGATCATTATTGGTTTTTTTTTAATGTTTCTGCTCACCCACCCAGACCTGTTGATTATATGACCATGGTTTGTAATATTAATAATTACCTAAGGAAATCAGATTACTGAGGTGCTTCCAGACAGATAGAGCCTTGTTCTAGTAATAAAAAAGTATTATATAACTATTTTATTTTTCATTATTTAAAAATGGAAACTATTGTGTGTTGATGGGAGGGAGAAACAGAAGCAATATTATGCAGCAACTGGAAGCAATGGCCTATATAAATCATGTAAAATTTCATGAAGGAGATTGATTGCATAATAAATTCCTTGTCTGGCAGCACTTCTTTTCTAAAAATGTTGCCATTTGATTTCTAAAAAATCAAGTGTGAAAATTTGGTATTTCAGCAAGTAGAATTTATAGCTGGGTTCAGCTTAATAACCTAGAGAAAGATCTTTAACTTCTATCTCCCACATCCATTGTAACATTCAATGCTCAAAAAGCCGTAATTCAAGATTTAATCATTGAATAGTTGAATCTTCCTTCTTCCTTCCTTCTTTCCTTTCTCCCATACCTTTCGCCCTGTGTATTGGGCAAAGCCGTTCCATGTTTCTCTGCTCTATTGTAAATAAATACTGCATTTAAAGAGTATTTTATGGAGGGAAGAGCCAACAATGAAAGTTTAAGCCAGTTTTTTCTTAATGTATTAGCCAGGAACTACAGAAGGAAAAGTTTCATGATTTTGTGGAGTTGACTTTCTGAAAACAATCTCTGTATATATAAACCAAAGTTCATTGGCAGTAGGAATATAAAAACATTAGGACAAATTTGGGAGGGTGGGAAGGAGGCATCCATTATGATTCTTCCAATGTTTATCCCTAGGAAAACCTCAATTTTGGCTTCTAAAAACAGCCCAAGCAAACCAGTTGTCAAATATTCAAGACTTGAGTTTTGTAGTATAGAAATCAAGAAATCAGCAAAAGTTTGCTTACTTAAATGTTCATTTATGTATTACTTCAACGTCTATGCTGCTTCAAACTTCATGACTTTAATCTGCAGTTAGTAAAGTTATTGCAGTCTACCTCTCCTTTGTAGGACACTTTTTAATGCAGTTTAAGATCCAGTTTTGTTGTTGTTGTTAATCAGTCACTAAGTCATGTCCAACTCTTCGTGACCACATGGACCACAGCATGCAAGGGCCCCGTCCTCCACTATCTCCCTGCGTCTACCCTCCACTATCTCCCTGAGTCTACCCAAACTCATGCCCACTGTGTCAATGACACTATCTAATCATCTCATCTTTTGCCATCCCCTTCTCCTTTTGCTTTCCATCTTTCAGGGTCTTCTCTATTCTCATTTTGGTGGCCAAAGTATTTGCATTTAAGCTATAGTATCGGTCCTTCCAAACAATAGTCAGGACTGGTTTCCTTTAGGATTGACTGATTTGATCTCCTTGGGATCCACGGGATTCTCAAGAGTCTTCTCCAACACCACAATTTGAAAGCATCAACTTTTCAGTTGATGGTACGACTCATAGCCATACATTACAACTCAGAAAACAATAGCTTTGATTATACAGACCTTTGCTGGTAAGGTGATGTCACTGCTTTTTAATATGCTATCTAGGTTTGCCATAGCTTTCTTCCAAGGAGTAAGCATCTTTTAATTTCATGGTTGCAGTTGCTTTTCTGCAGTGATCTTGAAGCTCAACAAATAAAGTCTATTACTGCTTCCATTTCTTCTCCTTCTATTTGCCAGGAAGTGAGGGGAACAGATGCCATGATCTTAGTTTTTGTAATGTTGAGTTTCAAGCCAACTTTTGCACTCTCCTTTTTCACCTTCATCAAGAAGCTCTTTAGTTCTTCTTCACTTTCTGCCATAAGAGTGATATTGTCTACGTATCTGAGGTTGTTGGTATTTTTCCCAGTACGCCTGTAATTCATCCAGCCAAATATTTTGCACGAGGTACCTTCCATATAAGTTAAATAAGTAGGGTGATGATATATAGCCTTGTCATACTTCTTTCCCTATTTTGAACCAATTAGTTGTTCCATGTCTGGTTCTAACTATTGCTTCTTATTTATTGTGATCTACACAATCAAAGGATTTAGCATAGTCAATGCATATGTTTTTTTCTGGAACTCTCTTGCTTTCTCCATAATCCAGTGAATGTTGGCAATTTGATCTCTAGTTCCTCTCCTCTTCAAAACCCAACTTGAACTTCTGGTAGTTCTTGGTTCATATATTGCTGAAGCCTAGCTTGTAGGATTTTGAGCATGGTCTTGCTAGTGTGTAAAATGAGTGCAATTGTACAGTGCAATGGAACATTCTTTGGCATTGCCCTTGTTTGGGATTGGAATGTAAACTGACCTTTTCCAACTGTGGCCATTGTTGAGTTTTCAAAATTTACTGACATATTAAATGCTGAACTTTAACAGCATCGTCTTTTAAATTTTTAAATAGTTCCACTGGAATAGCATCATCTCCCCTAGCTTTGTTGTTGGCAAGATCCAGTTTAGTGCCCTCCAAATGTGCTATATCATTTCTTGCAGTTAATATCTGTATAGGACATCAAATCAGATATTTTAATGAAGCTATGAGATATGTCTATAGTTTTCAGGGAAGTGGAACAGGTTTTCTATAATACTAGCTCTGTGATCTGTGTACATCTCATAAAAGCAATCAGAAAGGTGATGGGGGGGCTAAGTTAGAGCTCTGGTGAATATTTCTTTGGTAGGGAGGATGATATTACTTGCCTTGAAAAAAGTAACAGTGCACCCATATTTAAGAAGCCATCCTTTTATCCGCTTTATGGAGTAACTAACAGGCTGCCTGCAATTTTCCCTTTCTTGGAAAGATGACTGAGAAGGTAAAGAACCAGTAGTTAAAGAGAGCTATGGATGAAACAGATTATCTGGATGCCTTTAATTAGGATTCAGGCTGGGGTGAAGATTGTTGTGGATTACCTTGTGGGGACTGTAAGGAATAGTGCCACCTTCCTTAGCTGACTTCCATGACTCTTGATACATCAATTATGGTATCCTGCTGGATTGTTTATGAGAACTGAAAACTGGTGACCTTCAGGTTCTAGAGTAAGCCCATCTTTGACTCAAAATGGGGTTCTGCACACTCATAGAGAATAGGCAAATAATCTGAAGGTATTCCTGAACTCATAGCTCCTGCTGGAAATAAAGATGAAAACAATGGTCAGGAAAGCTTTTACACAGGTTCAACGTATGCTCCAGTTGTGTCACTTAGGTCCTTGTCACTTCATATCTTCATTACAGTCCCTCTTCTCTGAAACAGCTTAGCCCTAGAAACAGTCCTTTGTGTCAGAATTTTAGTGAGCTATTAAAACCTGGCTGTTCCAGAGTGTTTGGAGTATGAGGGTATTATTCTAAGATTGAAAGGAGGTCCGGAGAGATAGATGGGAAAAGTTATAATTGTGATACTTATATACTATTGATTTTGTGGTGGTTTGATTATTAAGCATTATTTTATTATTTTTAAATAAATTACTAAAAGTGAGAATTTGCTGTGCCTGTGGATTGAAGCACATAAAAGCCTAAATAAATAAATAATCTAAACAAATGTAGGTTGCCTGTACCCTTTTCTAACTATATGTTTTGTAATTTATATTTCTAATCTTATATACTTACAACTCTTTATTTCCCTCAATCATGTCTAGTGTGTTTAAAAATTAGGTTTCAAAGCTTTTCTTGCATGAATGAATCAAAATTATGAATAGCTGATTATCTTCAGTGTATTAAAGGTATACAAATGATTTCCTGAAACAGAAAAAGGCATAGATGGAAATTCATATTTTCAGAATTCTTGAAGCAAAACATTGCACTGTACTTAACCAAGCAATTTGCTTATTTGATTTGTACCACACCAATTACGCTCTGGAATATTTTTTCACATTTCTTAAAACTAACCTCGTTTCCCTCTACTCAAGTTACTGATTTTGTAGGATTATGTAGGACTTACAGAAAATTTGGGAATTCTATCTAATCATCCTCATCACTCCTTGACTCTCCCCTCAGTGCACAGGAAAAGTCTGATCTCGTCAGAGAGGTATCTTTGTGTAACTACAGAAACTGTCTTCTTTAAGCTAGATCCCATATGAAACTATGTCTACAGCAAGAAACATTCTTATTGCCAGAAAACAACTTACAACCAGCCAACTGGCCTTCTACAAGGAAATAAGTAAACACAGCTGGCTTTTGACACCCACTCCACTTGAGGATACAATACAATGGAGGTTTTCAGACATCTTCACTGCTTCAGCCTTGCTTTTCTTAATCTAGCCCTTTCTATCCAGGAGAGCTGTGCAGCTCTTTGTGGCTTATCCTCAAGTAGTTTGTTGTGCAATAGGATGCAATGGCAAAATTTTGAGGATAGAATGTTATCCAAATGTTGGAATTTCATCAAGTAGAAAGTCGACCCAGCTTCTACTGGCCATGTTCAGTTGCATTATATATTCCCCCCTCCATTCCAGTTATTGAGCATTTATCTTCTAAGGCAGGCATGTCAAACTGCCGGCCCATGGGCTGGATGCATCACGCCAAAACCACACCCATCCCATTGCCGGCAATGGGGAAAAAGTCACGATACGTCACACAACATCATGTGACTTCACGAGTGTGACAGGCCTACTCTAAGGCCATTTTGATTTGTGTTGCTGGGCTAAGAAGATACATATGTGACTTCCACATGCCATTGCCCATTTCTAGGCTAGGTTTTAATCAGAGGCCTTATTAACTTATATTTGCTATTCTTGCAAAATGGTGCTAGACTTCTTTAAAAGTCTTGTTCACCATTTGTGAGAAAGTTCTTCAGAAAGCACTAGCCTTCTCTTTTTAAAATAAAAGATCTTTTTAAAAAGTAGGCCTGGAGGAAGAGCAACAGCAAAATGAATACTGAGAGTAAAACGGCTGTGAAAATCATTCTCCAACATTGTTCCCATTACACACATTGCAGAAACAGCAAAGCACATGACTCTGAAATGCTAGACCTCATTTTTATAAGGAGGGAACAACAGTGAGATCACCGTAGTATCAACAGCAACATCATCATGAAGATTTCTCTTCACACTGTTCCTGTTAAGTGTACTGTAATTGGAGTAGCAGTCAACATAAATCTTCACAGCTGTCTGTAAAAAACAACAACACCTGAAGATGAGATAAAGCATGATGGAGTGGTTGACTATTGCCTTTTCCCTGTAGTATGAAATGATGCCTTTATCATTGTTACTGATCACTTCTAGCATCTTCTTATATGGCTGTTGCTCAATATAGATAGATGCCTGTGCGATTTAACTGGACTACTGGGATAAACTTCATCCCTTAGCAGTATAGCATCTTCTTTTAAATTCCCAGAATTCTTTATTCTCCCACTCAGGAAGAACAGCTCCTCTCCTCTCCCTCCATACTGAGGAAGCACAGTACTAGAGGGGAAATATTTGTTTAACCATGGCACAGGTTAAACAGGTTCTATCCTAAAACCAAACAAATCATAAATGGCTGTGGGAGGCAGGAAACAGATGTGGGTGTTTATTTTCCAGCAACACCTTCAGCAGAAATGAAGGACAGAAGCCCTATTGCTGGTGGCTCTACACATAAAGAGCCCCTTTTTTAAAAAATGGAAATCTAACAGACATAACCAAAAGGTTTTTGAGAAATGATATTATTGCCTCTCTTCCACAAAAATAAGCTACAGCTTTAAAACCTTTCTGATGATATTTGATACACCTTTAATAATGCTTTATTATTTTTTAAACCAGAAAGAAATTGAATAAAGAAAAAAAATAAATTAACAAAACTGCAATCAGTTCAGTTCACTGCTATTAAATATAACTGCAAACTGTCAACATCTAAAGAATGATTGAAAGTTGTTACAACATTGACTTCCGGTTTGTTGATGTGGCTGCTGCGGATGCTTGGAAGGCGACTCCGTCTTCCATATCCAATTTTCCTTCGCTGGGGGACCCTGGAAAGGGTCGAAAGTCACCCTGTAGGGGCGACGAGCGAGGAGAGGATACCTGCTCAATCTGGGGCAGCCCTCCAAACTGGTGGAGAAAAGACCGGCCATAGCAATATGGCTCGTCATTAGGCTGCAGACAGCCGAAGTCAAATCTACAACCAAGCACTCTGAAAGCAATGTGGATGAAACTGGGTGAAATTTGATCTTCTCTTTACCCCAAGTACCTTCTTTTCCTGCAAAGGCTGCTTGAAGTATCTTCCCCCTGTGAGGAGAGAGGGAAGGGAATTTCTATCCAACCCTCTAAGAATAGCGGCGTCTGACTATCCAAGGGAATCAAAGCATTAAAAAGAACAACTTTAATGTAATTGGATTTATGTTTTTGAAACTTGGGAGACTAAATTTTTTCCTATTTATATTGGAGACTTTTGTTTTTATCTACAAAAAAGAAATAAAATTGGATAAAGAATTAGAAAAAATTGGGATTTAAAAAACTCTAATTGGCATCCATGACATCTTGTGGTGAAGCTTGGTATTGCAATTTGTTATTTCCTAAAAAGAGACTTGGCTTGAAGCCCAGACCTAGATAAGACTTTCCTGACCTTGGAACCATCTGTGAGAAAATTCAGCTGTAAAAAAACAGCTGGGCAGCAAAATTGGTCCACTTGAGCTGTGACTGTAAACCTTTACTGTCTTTTGCTTAACAAATAACTTTTGCTAGAAAGACTATTTACAAATAAGTGAAAGATGGACGAAGACCAGGAAAAGATTCTTTCTATGTTAAAAGCAATACATGAAAACATTCTTGCAGCTTGTGATAAAATAAGACCTAACATAAAAGTTCAAGATTCCAGCTTAGATGCACAAAGCCAAATTTTGACTACAACTAAAGAACCAACAATGCAGAAGATAACAGAAGAAGTGTGACAACCAAATATGAAGACAGAGGACCTAACTGATCATCAAATATACCTGATGGAAAATCCAGAAAAGGAAGTGACAACATTGAAAATGGAAATGACTTTCTATACAAATCAGAAGAAACTCCAGAAAGAAGTGGAACAGATTGAAGACAAATATACTAGAGCAAACATGGGGAACTGGAATAACAGGGAGACAATTTAATGAATACAAATGGGCTAGTCCTTCCAGAAAATTGGCAATCCAATGGTCTCCTTTAATTCAAACAACATATGTAAGCATAGAGGAAGATCTATTTGATGATTTAAAGGCATTGATATGGAAGCTTAATTGACAAAGGAAGAAAGCTAGAATAAGGTTGAAAAAAACCTGGGATTTTAACTCATTAGAGGGGATTTTATATTGCCAATTAGAGGGTTAAAGGGAGATGTTGAGATAAGGGGAATTTTGGTTATTAGATTTATAATATTTGGAAACTAGTTAAAAATAAGGATTTTATCAGCTTAATATTTAAAAATTGGACTTAAAAGGGAAAAGAAAGTTAAATATTATGAATATGTTTGATTTATTGATTAACTCAGGCAATATATATAATGGTTTTGATTTATTAAAGGGGATATTGTGTTATTAAGTAGATGATTAAATATGATGGGAAATAGATAACTCTTAGGAAATAGAACAAGATTATATTCAAATAGATAAAATATGTATTTTGGATATTATAATTTGTTATCAAGTGAGATAAGAGAAATTTTGGTTACCCAAAGTCTGAAAATTATAAATATTAAAGGTTAAATTGGAATATTGATAAGAAATTAAAAATTGAGTAAAATTAACAAAGGGATATGGATTGTTTATGAAGATTGAAAGTAATTAAGATATGTATAAGCTAAAAATCTATTGATAAATGTAATAATGATGTTTTTATTGAGTTGATATAATTAGAAATGTACTAACCTGAATACGAGACAGTAAATGTTAAGGTAAAAAGAGAAGAAATATTCGATGTTGTAACCTGAGGTCTGCACTAATATTCTGTTATTGAACTATTGTAACACAGTCACCATGTTGCTTTTTATATATTCAAATGTAAAATTGGAAAATTAATAAAATATTATAAGAAAGTTGTTACAACATTAAACAGAAAATGTACTTGGAATTCCAAAATTTGATATAAGAATCTAATAAATAAATAGCCATTCACAAAAAGTGCAAAGAAACTCAGCAATCATAAAACAGGAGGACATGCATTTTTATTGTTAACTGACCAAAGAACAGAAAACAGAAGAGGAATAAACTGACAATTTTCAAATTGGAAAGTCATTCAAAGTATGAAATGATGATAAGATAAGATAAAACTTGATTGTCGTTTTTTTACTGTTGGCACAACTGCACACATCAAAAATGAAATTTAGTTGCCCGCTCTCAAAGTGAAATACATACTTGACACACACCTAAACATACTATGAACAACATATGTACAGACCCATATCCCTATATATACATAGCAAATAAATATTAAATACTGTCCGTCTTGAATATATAATGGAAGGAGGAAGCTTGAGAATTCACAAGGTTAATCCTGTATGGGATGAAACTATGGCTGAATCTGGATGTTCTGTTACGGATTATTATGAATGATTACCAAAGTAGGCAAGTTTATTAATGATCCCATATTGTTCAAGATAGTAAAGTCAAAACAATTTCAAAGACTTTGAATAGGTTCTTCCCAAGCTTGGTATTTTAGGAGGGAGAAAAGGGTGCCTTCAAACTAGTGTTGACTCCTTGGCCAACTCCCTGTAGTTTTTTTGGCACAAAGTCAGAAATGGTTTCTCATTACCAGCCTCCTAGGACTGAGAGAGTGACAGCCCAAGGTCACCCAGTCACCTTCATGCTTAAGGAAGGATGAGAATTCATGGTCACCAACTTTCTATCCTGATCCCTTAACTACTATATCAAATTGGACACCAAAATATCAAATGCAGTTCTGTATAATCAAACACATTTTTTAAAAAAAGGGGGATCTGAATAAGGAACATAATTAGTGGTTATCCCAATCAAAATGTCTATAAAGTGATTACTGTAATTCCTTATTTAGAATCATTAGAAACTGCACCCTGTACAAACATCAAATATACACTGATAAGCCACCAGTGTGACACAACTAAAAAACTATAAATTGCATATCACTGGCTCTACTGTAATAACTCCTCTCTATTGGCATACTGATGCTGAGAGCCAGTGTGGTATAGCAGATAAAATGCTGGCTTAGAAACTAGGAGGCTGTTATTTCAGATCTCCTTTGGCCAGTCCTACCTATTCGGTTGTTATTGTAAAGAAAACATGAAACAGGAGGATTAGGTGTCTCGAATTATATTCTGTATATAAAAAAGATGGGATAATAATACTCATCTTGCATACTGCGTCTAGTTCTGGGCACGTATTTTAACCGGAAGAAATTTGAACAGGTTCAGAGAATGGCAAACGAAGGTGAACAGGTGAAAACGAATACTTCTTAAGATCTCTATAAGCCCTGAACGCTTACTCGAGAAACAATAGAGAGATCACCATATCATTCTTTAAAATTCTGAGAGAAAGAAAGCAAAGACCTTTTCTCTCTCGTTTAATGGAAGACATCGAAAAACGAAAAACCCTAACCAGGCGATGGGCTCCACTCCCCAATCCATAGTTTCTGGGAAGCGCTTCAGCAATGCCTTCTCGCCGCTTTATCCAGGATTTCTTCTCACTTTCCGGGCTAACCCATGGTTCTGGGATTCTTACGAGATCTTTCACCCAAATACTAACCAGCCCACAGCAGGTGAATCAAGTGCTGCCATCTGCTGAGATTGGAAACGGACGAAAAACTGGGGCAGTTATAAAAGGCATGTCACGAAGAACCAATAACTAGCCTTCTTCGAGGCGATTTACTGTTTGCTAACTCAAAAGTAGAATGCATTGATCTTAAACATAGTGTAAGCAAAAAAATTCAGGTCACGCGCCCGCTGTGCTTGCATGCACGTGCTCCCAAGACTTAAACCTTTCCGGGAAGAGTTCCAGACTCCACCTCTTCACAGGAGCAGCCAATCGTCACTCTTGCATTTGTTTTTCTTTCTTCGGTTAGCATTGTTCTGCTTTGAGCAAATAACATGTCGTTACTGGCCACCAATCAATCGGTGTTCTTGCTCTTATCACCAATTATCCCCGTTATTTATACCTCTCTGTTTACCCTCTCTCCCAACTTAAGTTTCTGTAGAATCGAGCATGCGTTCTCGTTCCTCTTCTTAGCCAATCAAATCGATTTGCTCTCAACCAATGGAAGTGCCTTCCTCTTCCCTTCTGTCTTCCGTGCCCCATTCCCTCAGCCCCACCTTTGTTCCTCTTTCGGAGTAATCGAAACTGACGGGTGGGGGTCTCTTCCGGCTTATGCATGGACACATTTAACCATGTGACCGGAAGTAGTATGCAGCTCAAATTGGGGTAACTTCCGCCTTTTTCTCTCTGGATTCCTCTTGTTGATGGGAAATTGAGACAGCGGCTGATGAGGTAAATCCTCGTATAGTGGTTGCAACGGCGAAGGCTGGGCGTTTCGTGAAGAAAGAGTATCTTGCAGAGTATGGATTAATCCTTTAATATTGTTCAGTCTTTAATAATAAAAAGCAGATCTTTTATATGGTGTTGCCCGATAGGTTGTTCAGAATAAATAAATCAACATTTATTAATGTAAGATTTAAAACAGTTAATGTTTTCCTTGTATTGCAGATTTGGGGCTCGCGTTTACGCGGGCGGACAGAATCAGCGGTAGATAATATAGAATCTTTTTAAGCTTTACGGTATCTATTGCAATGTTACGGAAGGTGAGAAATTGAAACAACCAATCCCGTTTTAAGGGATTGATGCATCTAACATGATATAAATCAATTCCCAATCTGTATTGTCCTTCCATATAGTTTAGATAACAATATTAAAAACTGAGGTAACACATGTATAGGGTAGTAAATTGGGAAGAGTGGTGTTCTATGGATTTAAAAATGCATGCTACTGTTTGATTTATAGCCCACCTTTTCTTCAGGAGCTTAAGGAAGTATACATGGTTGTTGCTCCTCCCATTTTCCCCCCAACAATCCTGTGAGGTAAGTTGTGCTGAAAGTGTGTGACTAGAATCCACTGCATGATTTACCTGCAGAGTTCGTGCTCTATTGCTGGACAGATGTTCCAATAAAGGAGAATATTTGTAGTTCAGGGTTAAAATGAGGGGTCCTCGGTGCCCTCTGAACTTGGTTGTTTGCTTGCAGATGTTTCATTATCCAAACTAGATAACATCAGTGCTAGTAAGGAGTGGGGTTTGCTCTGAGTTTATGTTTAGGGGCTTGCTCTCTCAATGTTGATGGGAAGTGGAGGGTCGTGGGGTGCTCTTTGATTGGGCTAGTAGCTTGTTTGGCAGTTCCTTGATTTGAGTATTGTTTACTTGATTGTTGGTCTGATGTTAATCTTGGTTTAATCTATGCTCTCTGGATGCTGATTGCTGGTGGGGAGATGCTTTGGTCTTTTTCTTTTCTTTTTGGCTTGTTAATTATCTCTCTTGCACAGTATGTAGATATTGTTTATATCTATGAGTGTGTATTGATGGCTAATTTGTCAGAATGCCAGGCTTCTTGTAATTTAGCATTTTTGGACTTAGTTTGATCTAGGATTTTCAGCTGAAACTGGTTAACTCTTGATATATTGTGAAAGTAGAATTTTCATCCTGTTTTTGACTGCTACTGCTAGTCTTCCATCTGTTTGTTCTACGTAGTGTCTGTTGCAGTCTTTACTCTATACGTTGTAGATGATTCTTGTTTTTTCTCCTGAGACTACTGGGCCTTTTGGTTAACAGGATGTTTTGGAGAGCTTTAGTTGATTTGTGTGCTATACTGATTCCATGTGATTGTAATAAGTCTGTTGGTGGTTTCTGAGATGCTTTTGGTGTCTGGTAGTGTTATCCTTTTTACAACTTGTATTGGTTGTGTTATCTTGGATTGAGTAGTCAGGCACATTTGATGAAGTTGCGTGGATATCCATTTTGTTGAAAGATATTGTATAGATGCTCTATTCCTTTTTCTGCTGTTATGGGTGGCTGAGTTGTTTGTACTCATCTGAATAGGGTTCTTACATAGAAATAAGGATTATTGCTTTAGAAGTGAAGACTTGATGAGTGTGGATGGTTTTTTGGTATATTTGTGTTTCTAGTTTGCCATTGCAATTTCTGCTGATCAGGATATCTAGGAAGGGTAGTGAGTTGTTTTGAAACATTAGAGTTTTCTCTCACTTCATTTGGGTAACATGTAGGTAATCAAACACTGCTATCCTTGTTCACAAACAGGTTGTGTTTGTCACACTCAATCTGTCTATAAGACTATGCTGTTCTTAGCAAAAGGACTTTATGACAATGTACTAAATCAGCGGTTCTCAACCTATGGGTCGCGACCCCATTTGGGGTCGATCGACCATTTTACGGGGGTCGCCAAACAAGGCGATCCACCATTTTTCCCCCTCGGGGTGCCGCTGTGCATGGGGGGCGCGCATGGGGGTGCCGCTGCGCATGGGAGTGCACCGCACATGCGCGCTGCGCATGGAGGCGGCCCCCCACTCATGCGCTCCGCGCATGCACGGCACGTTTGTGTGACGGGGGTCGCCGTCACACAAACGTTGAGAAACGCTGTACTAAATTAATGATCTCACCTTTCAACTTCTAGTTTGACCTTCATGCCTAAACAGTAGCATGCATTTTTGTAGCAAGCTAACATAGCAGTTGTTCTGCTTTTCTATTTTCTCATAACTTTATATGAAGCTGGGGAATCCCATTCTGAAACTATTACTGTGCTTAAAACACATTCTGAAAGCAGAAAGGCTGGCCATTTGGGATTTTCTGTGATCAGGAAGTGATTGTATTCATACTTGCATTATTCCTCAGTTTTATTCCTATTCCTTTGATTAAATTCCTGTTAATTTACCCTATATACTCTCATTTCTAATTCCCCAAACAGTTAAGTAATTAATTGCCTTCATTGCTACCACTGCTTCTATTCAACCATTTATCACCTCTTCTAACTAGCAATATATTTTAAATATTGAGTACATTTTGCTTCTGTTTCTCACATCAGCTTTCCTTCTGATACAGGTAATCTCAACTTACAACCATTCATTTAATGACTTACAATGGTGAAAAAAATGACTTATCGCTGGGTCCTTGCACTTAACAATCATTGCAGCATCCCCTGATCTCATGAATAAATTTTGGTTATTTGGCAATCAGCATATATTTATGATGGTTGCAGCATCCTGTGGTCATGTGATCACCATTTGTGACCTTCTCACCTGGCTTCCAACAAGCAAGTTACCAGAGGAAGCCAGATTTGCTTAACAACTGCATGATTCAATTTCAGCTGCAGTGGTTCAGTTAACAACCATTGCAAGAAGGGTGTAAATAGAGAACTACCTTCATTGTCTTTTTTTTAGAGAAAAACAGATTCATTTCAGTCTGGGGCCTACTTTTTTAAAGTTCCTACAACTTTGCTATCCTTTGATATCTTACAAAACTCCAAAGGGAATAGTGCCACCCGAGGTTAATTTCAGAAGACTAAAAGGTGTACTATTACCAGATTAATGGGATTTTTTTTGTAGGAATAATGGCTTCTTAAACTTTACAGTAACTCTTCAATAGGCCTATATCCAACTCTATTTGCAAGTCTTAGATGGAGGCTTGACACTTTTAAGCATTAAACTTTGCTTTTTAGATTCAGCGAGAACTGAAAACATGTATGCTAGACAGCCTGCAAATCTTGATTTACAAATTACAATGGTTTAAGCCAAAACTACATAGAATATATTTCTTAATAGTGAATTGGACTATTTTATCAAGCCATCGAGTGTGCTTTCATATGTTGTGTGAACACAACCAATGTCTTTGAGCTCTTTGACCTTTTTGAGCAGCAGGATTGAATTGTCTTGCAGGATTAGAACTTAATATATTACTTTGACTCTGCTTTTCCTTATATTCATTAGAACTACACTTTGATCATTGCTCAGCATATTTTATTACATCATTTATTGGCTTCTTTTTGTCTGCTCCATGAGTTTAGATTACATAATCCTAAATTTGGTTGGACTTAGTTGAACTACCATTATAGAGCAGGATATTAGCAGCATGAGGATACCAGTCTTTTTGGAGCTCCTTCACTCAAAAAAAAAAAAAAAAAAAAGAAATTTACCTGTGAGCTAAAATCATTGTGGATAGTTCTACATTACTTCTAGTAATTATACCTTGTAAATTGTACTATGGAATGCTGATAGATTTTCCATTCATAGTCTAATCTTTCCCATTGAGTTCTTTCTGGGTATATTGATCTCTTCCAGCTGGTACATTCCAGCTGGTATTTCCAAGATAGCAGAGAGTAAAAGTAGTTGCAGTCCAAGGCATGAAGGAAAATGCTGGTCTGGCACTTGTTCTTTTGTGAAGTCTGGAGCCCTGGTGGATTTTTTGTACCCCTATTTCTTGTTAGCAATATGCTTAAATTTATTCACTACTACCTTGTATCATAATTTATAAGTGTTTCAAGTAAAATATTCAAGTCCAAAATATTTTAAAGAGTATTGAAAATAGTTCATACAAAATTCCAATTTTCAGATAGATAGCCTACTTAGAGAATAAATCAGCTATAATGTTCAAGCTTGAGGAGTTAAGGTTAAAGAAATCTGCCTGGATAACTCTGGACCAGTTACTGTCATATAGCTCAACCTTCATCATAGGTATTTAAACATCATAGGGTTGCTGCTATGAAGAAAATAGAAGATAGGAGCATTACATGTATATGTTGCCTTGAGTTGATTAAAGATAAAAATAGGAGAAAAGTCAAATCTTCATTGTCAGATGAGGATGAAAAATAGAATAGAGAAATAAAAGAAATTTCCAACATAGTTAAGCAAAATTCTCACAGTTACCGTGACAAATAATCTTATATTTTTTCACGTATTTAAACATATTTATTGCATTTATATGCCACCAAATTATTTGAGATTCATGACAATTTAGAACAGCAATTAAAACATTCCCAATATTCAGCATTTAAAATGTCTGTAGTAAAAGTATAGGATAATACTAAAAATAATTGAAACAACCAACATTTATAATTTTTATTTATATATTTATTTTCTTTGCTGCCCATCTCACCATGAAGTGAGTAAAAATACATGAAGTAATAAAACAATGGCAATACTCAAACCAGGAAACTACCAACTTTCTGTGAAAAAGGAACTTTGGAAATAGATGGACAAATCTTAATTCTGGGGAGGAGACTGTTCCACAGGGCCAGGCCTGCAACAGAAAAACATACTGTATATTCCGGCGTATAAGACGACTGGGCATATAAGACGACCCCCAACTTTTGAGAAGATTTTCAGGGTTTAGAAAGTCGTGTTATACGCTGGAAAATATGGTACAATATTGAATTTCTGTTTATAGATGAGCACAATAGGAGCTCCATTCCTTTGCTGCTAGAAAGCGAGTGTTGCCCACCACTGCTTCCCTAATGCTTCCTGAACTCAGCTGGTATTTTTCCCCCATATATTTTATTGATTTTTTAAAACATAAATCACTTAATAGTTGGTAAACAGTGTGTTTGCTGGGTTTACATTTGTAAAGAAAAATCATTAACAATTGGTTTCTATAATCTATAATCCACATAGTACATTTAGTTGATTTCCCCTTTTCCCCAAAATGTCTTCTTTGCAAACCTTGAAATAATATAGTTCTTATTATTTTGATAAAATATATTTAATCTTTAAATATTCCATTTAATGTGCCTAGTCATCTAATCCTTTAGGTCTTATTCAAAACATTTTTTTCTTTTTTATACATTATAATTTCCCTAAATTCAGACACATTTAATTATCTAAAACATTTACTTCATCTAGGCCATTTCAGCAATATTATATTACTTATATCAAGAAATAAAATAAAGGGGGGGGAAAGCATACAGTATTATTTAAGGAATTCATCTCTCTTAGAATGACATAGGTATTCAGAATCTTTTCTGTTTCTTTAACCATATTCAAACAAATGTTTCTTTTTTAAATATTCTCTCTGGTAGATCCCATCATCTATTTTCTTAATTTTCACTTTGATCTTTTTCCTTTGACCAATATCTTTCTTAATCAATTGATTTGCTGAATCAAAAAGGTTTTCCATATATTCATGACTGCTGCTATAGGTATAAGAAGTAAATCAAATATTTCTTTTTTTTGTAGATGTAATGTCCTTAATTTATATAGCTTACTGTTTTCTACTATTTAATTGCTTTTCCTGAAAAAGAACAAAGTGATGGGCGATGTAGAAAAATGGGATTTTTGAATGCTTTGTCCTGCTGGCTGTGGAATTCTGGGAGTTGAAGTCCACATGCCTTACAATTGTCAGGGTTGAGAAACACTGTTAGTGCTTATTTCTGTAAAAAAAAAATTAAAAAATAGAGCTGGCCACTAGGGGGCAGATTGGTTTTAAATTCAGAGAACAGCTACCTGGCATATAAGACCACCCCGACTTTTGAGAAGATTTTCATGATTTAGAAAGTTGTCTTATATGCCGGAAAATATGGTACCTGATTTTGTAGATCAATAGCAACTCTATGAGTTACATTTAGAAGCATATTGGACACCAACGTAGGCCTGAAAGTTCAAGCAAAATGTGCTCTTGACAGGTAATATCTACCATAATTAAGGCACTGTATCAATAATCATATTTAAATAGTCTTCAAAGGCAGTCCCATGTATAGCACATTGCAGTGATCTCATTTCAAAGTGGCAAAGACTATGTCCCCATGCAAGAATCTCATAATTCAGGTAGACTGCAACGGATGTGCTAGCTAAAGCTGGGCATAGCCCTCCCAACCAGGACCTCCACCTGCCCAACAACAGTGACCATGAATATAGGAGGACTTCCAATGGTGGGATTCAAATATGTGAACAACCAGTTCTCTGTGTGGATGCCACTTCCGGAAGTCCATTCTGGGCCTGGGCAACAAAAATTAGCTATTCTATCTCACATTCTGATGAGAGACAATTACCCTGAGGATGGGCTCCAGCAGAAGTCCAAAAACTCTGAAGACTAAATCTCTGGTCCTGGTGACCAACCCAGATTGGATCCTGCCACTTCCTAACTTGTTTGATGGACATTTTCAGACCCAAATAACTTGGCTTACTTACTACATGATTATAGTAAGGTCGTAAGTGTATTGTTAAAAAGAGGGCTTACAAGAAAATATTTTTTATTACTAAGTCTAGACCACTTCTTTGCCCACTGTGAAGTAAGAGCTACTATTTGATATGGCACAAATAAATTGTGCAGTCTGATGAAACAGGCAACTTTTCTGACTAGTTAGTAAAATGGCAACTCTTTTATAATTAAACCAATATGTAAACATTTGAGGCTGTATATATTTTTTATTTATTTAGAATAAAAAGGTTTTTTTTTTATTGGTAGTGTATGTTCACTTCCCCCCAACTTTGGTAACCAAATACATAGTGTTATTCTCCTTCTCTTCATAAATCCCTAAGTTTTGTTCTAAGAAATCCTTATTTTTGTTCTTTTTAACCAGAGATACAGTAATGCACTGAAGAGGAATTAATTATGATTCACGATTGATCTTTTTGAGATGGATGTTATGATAGATATGTAAGTAGTCTCAAAGTTGTGCAGTGATACCAGCAGAAGTACAGGCATATACTGTATTATAAGGGAATTGTAAAATGGCTGAACTTTAAGCCTCTTCTCTCCAGTAAGGAATAAAACTGCCAGTACTTACAGTATTGCTTACAATGACATTCCTCCTTCCCCCACGCCCAAATCCAATGAAACTTTGTTATTGAAGGTCATTTTAGCAGGGAGTGCTTGAATGTTGCTTGGGAACCAAGTTTGATGCCTACATACATAGCAACCTTTATGGAAAGGGCACACACATGTGTAAATTGTAGCTTTTCCTTGCAGAATGCACAGATGGAAAGTCTAATTGCCTCGGTTGTAGCTGGCATAAATTTTATGATGAAAGCTGCCACTTGGGGAGATGTAACATGTGACTCATAATTTGGACAGTTACTTTTTTGCAGATCTGGAACTCTCCCCTCCCCAAATTCCACACACTCACCCTGTTCTTGGAACTTAGCTATGCCGAGATGGCAGAAACAAAGCTCTTTTGCTTTCGGATGTTTTGAAATTGCAATTTTGATTTTATAATTTGATCTGGCTAGGTTGGATGTTGGGTGGCTGACCTTATCCCCAGCAACTGTAAATAGGGTATGGGGAAGATTGAGCTGTTCCCCCATCTCCCATATAATTTGCTTCTAGTGTCTAGTTATTGTGGAATATTTCTTCCAACCCTGCTGTCTTCGGGTAGAAAGTTGGATTAGATGACCTTTGATTGTTTCCAAATCTGCAAACAACCATCTGATACAACAGTTGTAGTTATTGGGGAGGGGAGTACAATTTTCTCAACCCCCACATAGATCAACTGACAGAAGCTGGAATGGGGTGGCCCAGCATTTTTATACTTTCTTTCATTCAGCTATTAAATCTACCAAACAATACTTCAGAAGTCAATGTCACTTTCACAATTTCTTACCATTTTTTCCTAAAAGATCGCTCATGCTCAACATCCTTCAGGGGACTTCCTGCGTTAGTGGTACCTAATTTATAAACTACTAATACTCTCATGTCTATAAATTAACTGGATGAAATGGCGCATATTAGGGCAACATTTTGTCAACAGAGCTACCTCAAATGGACTAACTTACAGAACCTGTTATTCCCAATTTGGGAAAGTTGTGACTACTTTAGCGGGGTCTGGCTGGTGTTGCAATCACATGATCTTTGTTTTCAATGTTCTGTAAGTTTCCAAGCTATTCCTATGAGCCCTCCCTCCTTTCAACACATAGCAGCAAAGGGAGGGAGGACAAACACAGTGGAAGGAAACCATGCATACTTTTCTCACCCCATTCTCTACAGGCCTTCCCCAACCTATGTGGCACCTCTTGCAGACCTCTATGTACTGACTGTAACTTATCCCATCCTCCCACATGCCCTCTCCAACCCCATCACACATAGCATCTCTTGCACACCCTTGTGACCTGCCCCTGTACTCCTATCAGTCTGCATAATCCTTGCCTGCACTACCCAACTTGCATAGATTTATCATGCACCCCAGTGCATTTCTCCTGATCCATGCTACCCATTCACATATTCTCAACTTACAAAGAATCTCTCAGAACCCTTCCCAACCCACGCTACTTTCCCAACCCAAATGATACTTGTTGCACCTATCCATACACCCTTCCTGACCCACGCCACCACCCACATGCACCATCCCTAACCTGGCTATCTCACTTTTCTGTCTATTGGCCTTGCAGTTGCAAAGAAAGTGGGGAAGCTGGCAGGAGGGGAGGGGTGGAGTGGAATTTTGGATGATCCCTGGCAGCTTGCTAGCTTCCCACAAGGATATTCATTGGGGAAGAGGATAGGAAGTCAGAATCATTGCCACTCCCACAGAATAAGTCCCATCTTGATGGAGACAAAATCAAAACAAATATTAAAGGTGAATTGTTTGTTTTTAGATTTATTTCAGGTCATTCTGTGCAAGTGCTTTTCTATTCTTCCTATATCTCTCTTATTTGTATTAGTATACTGAATTTCTTTGCCCGCGTACCTTGTGAACAGGCAGTAGTGATGGGATTCCACCTACCAAGGGATCATTGTACAACTAATTCAGAAATAAGCTTGGGTTTCTATCTAATATGCGATCCTGAGTTCCTTGGTAGAAAGAATAGTTTTAATATCTAGAAGGCCTTATCTGCGTGTTTTCTCTTTTTGCCTCCTCCCCTTTCCCTCAAAACAGAGAATCCATTGACGGATGACACATCTGTACATGAATATCAACAACTTCACTGTTCTCTCCAAGGATGAGCAAGTTGTGTGACTTGCAGAACGCTGATTTGGAGCAGAGTCTTCCTGCCATTGTTTCCTCATTTTCACACTCCCCAGGGTTTTCTCCACATTATTTTTCTTCCGAGAGAAGAAGAACCATTTCTGATGTGCGACGAACCTTCTGCCTCTTTGTGACTTTTGACCTTCTCTTCATCTCACTCCTCTGGATAATTGAATTGAATGTGAGTCAAAAAGCTGGTTTTTGCAAGTAAGGTTTTCTCTCCTGACCCCCTTCCCTCTCCCCTATTTCACTCAAATAATTAGGGAAATAAAAGTTTCCCCAGAGACACTTTTCTTCACAGCTACTGCAGTGGATAAAATACAATGCATCAATTGGAGTTGCCTATCCCTGTATTGTGTAAACAATTGCCCAGGCTAACAGTGGTGTACTAGACAATTTCAAAATTCTGTTTGGAATCCATTCCATTCTCTGTGGCATCCTGCTATTGTGCTGATATCAGCCTGCCTCCATCTGAGTAGTTATGCTCCATTAGGATCTCATCTTAGGAACACAGCTGTTTATCAATAAAAGCAATAAAATACAAGTACTAAGGCTTGTATGAATGCTTGTTAGTTGCCAATTTTTGTTTGCAAGTTGTTTTCACCTTAGGGGATAAGAGTGAAAACAAAGGTTACTATTTCATTGGATTTTTGGTCTGATTGCCTGGTCTTTTCAGCTTTAAACACAAACCATAAAAGAGGCTGAATCAAACCTGCAAGTTTTTAATTTCACTTAACTAGTAAACCTGCCTGGGACAAATAGAGTAATGACTAACCTCTTGGAACTGTTCTAATTGTTGGGCATAGAAGTAAAGCTACTTCATGTCTCCACCTATAAACAAACCTACACATATCGCTGCTATTGTGTGGTGAGGTAATGACCCGGATGAATTACTCAGCTTATACATTATGCTATAAGAATAGAAACCAATTTGATTTTAAAGAAAAATGTTCCTTCCTGGTTGCAAACGTGTTCCAATTGGTTCCTCAGAGCATTTGAAAAAACTATTCTCTGTAGGAGTAATATTATACTCTTGCTCATCTGCAGCAGTTAGTACTATAAACATACAACTTTCAGCAATTCTTCTAACCTGGGACCTTCTTAATCTGTTGGCCAAGTGTCCAGGGGAAATGGAGTTGTAGTCCATCATATCTAAAGGGTAACTGATTGTATTGAAGATATACTACAACTTCTGAACAAAAAATTAATTAAGTATAATTTACTTTACATATATTCTAACAGTATTGTTAGTAAATAAAACATTTCTCAATATAGCATATCAAAAAGAAATAGAATCATTGGAAGTGGAAAGAACTATATGATAGAAATGCAATGGTTTGGTCACTTCACTCTACCCTCTTCTCATGCAACATGTCTGTATTCCACAGTAGGAACCATTGTGAGAAAATAGCTGAAATACAGTAAGTTATACATCTCTTGAATGCCGCTCTGTTTTAGATTTGGAAACCACAATTTCTTTAATAGACAAATGAACAGAGATTCATCATATGGCCATCCATTCACTCTGCTTCCTAGCTTTCAAAGGATTAGAAAAATAGGTTTGAAAGGAAAGGAAAGAATGAAAAGCCTAAATACCATATTCACAGGAAATGACACATGATTTTTCTGATAATATTATAGCCTCAAATGAGTCAATCAGTTTCCCGACAACAGAATGTACGCGTAAAGGAAAGCTTGTCCTGCTAAAAGCAAGATTCAGTCTTTCCCTTGTTTAGACCAGTTGTTTAACAATTCAATCATAAAAACAAATAGAGGGAAGGGAATCTTCACATTCATAAGAACAAATGGAGAGAGAAGAATCTCCATAATATTTATATCCATTCTAAATAACAGTACTGAGGGGTTAGGCAATCTAACATCTTACAGATGTTTTGAGGTAGAATTTTTGTAAATGCTGACCGAAATAGCAAATGACTTGCATTTACAGGAGTTATCTAAGTCAATCTGCAGAGGTCAATATTGTCTAATTCTGGATTAGGGATTCTTGTAGAGCAGTGTGTTTGTCAATCATGGCAACTTTAAACTGTATGAAATTCAACTAGAATTGTCTAGTCAGCAGACTGGGGAGAAACACTATTGTTGAGGCAAGCGTTTAGAGGTGGAATAGCACATAGTTCAGGACAGTACTTTTTCAGATATATTTTCCTCTTGACACCTAATAAAAGTAAGATTGCTATTTGCTGATATGTATTAAATGTTTTAATTTATAGCATAATTTGTTAATAGCTTTTAGACTATGATGGTCTGAATAATTTTACTAACATCGCACTTTATATTCATACAATGGGTCTAATGCTTGGTTTATCACTTTTAACCTTCATGTTGCATGTTTGTTTTTAACTCTTTTTCACGTCATTGCTTAATACTTGTTTAAGAGGTGCAGATCAAACAGGGAGTATTAAGATGAAAAGAGTCTGCCATTGCTGGCAGAATTCAGATGAATAGATGATGCTAGACTACACAACTACACTTCCCCAGCCTGAGAAATGCCAGGCCAACTAAGAATAATGACTAATAAAGTTCAGGATATTTGAATGGTAGATGATTAGAGAACAAGTAAAATAATTCTGCTCTACAACAACTCTGTGGTTCTTCTAGTAGTATACTGAATGCAGTGTTGTTGAAAATAGTCTGATTCAGTGAAACAATCTGACTAACCAGGACCTGGCCCTGATTAGCTACAAATTATATTGTTGAAACCTATTTGGGGAAGATGTATGGATCTGTCTATATCACTCCCAAATATTTCTTCCTGATAGGTATCTTTATACATTATATTCATGTGATAGCAAGATTGAGCAATATATAGATTTACATACATACATGCATGCATGCATACATACATACATATATACATACATACATAAAATAACGAGGTTGGCTTCAGTAACACTGGAGGTTGTGACATGGGATTCTGCCCCTCTCCAAGGAGTGCATCTTCCGGTCTCTAGTATGGATTAGTTATAGTTAGGCCATGAATGTAGGATAGCAATTCTATCAATATATTACTCAATCACCCTTTTGCTCAGGGTGGGGGAATGGAACTTTGTCACTACTGTTGGAGCCTTGTTATTTATGGCTCATGATTGAATTACTGCCACAACAATTCATCTTGAACTAGATCTTATCCAATTGAATGCAAATTTTAAATTATTTGTATTTGGCCCAAAAAATTAGTTTTCCTCAATAGGCCAGTTGATTTACATTGCTTTTAATGCCTTTTATATATAGACTAGTGATTATATCAACAACTTGATTGATCTGTGATATACTAATCTAAAGATGCAATCATTCCAAATTAAACTTGCTTCTGTCAGGCACAAGAAATCTGGAGCTAGGATAAAGTTCAAAAGCACTAAAAGTTTATTTCATGTTATTTATATACAAGAACTTAATCTACTAACAGTCAAGGCAAATTGGTGCCAAATAAGAGCCAACAGACTTCAAGGGGAGCTGGACTTAGGTCTCTTACAAAGGTGTAGTGACTCCAAACTGATGACGTATTGGACCCCACCCCACCTTTGGGCTCACCCTGGACATCTCCTATAGCTGCCGTTCCTTGTAGAGCCCACCCATCTTATTTATTTATTTATTAATAAAATTTATATGCCGCCCAATCCGTAGGGACTCAGTTTTCTGAGCTATGTAACAGAAAATATGAGTCCAAATCAAGACTGGATTGGAGCTAATTATAGTGCTATATATTATTCTGCTGAGCTATCTAATACTGCCTAGAAGTAACTTTCTAGTGTGTTTTGAACCATTTCAAGTACAATACTTCAAAAAATGTCCTACTTGGGTGCAAAATTGCTGCCTTTGGGCATAAGATGTGCTTTTTCAAAAATTTTGGAAATGTTTCAAGCTTATAGTAATGTGTCATATATTCTGTTTTGAGCATGAAACAGATGGTTTCATACTCAACATTTTCGTACTCAAAATACAAATTGTCCATTATTTTAAAGCTTTCCTAATCCAGTGTCTCCAGAGATGTGGGCTTAATGCATGATGAGAGGCTATACTATTCTGAATTCTGAGAACTGTAGTCCCACCATACCTGGAGGCATCAATTGGGGAAGGCTAAAAAAAAGTTTAAATAAAAGGTAAAGGTTTCCCCTATCCAGTTGTGTCTCACTGTAGGGTGCGGTGCTCATCTACATTTCCTAGCTGAGAGAGCCAGCATGTTTCTGTGGTCATGTGACAAGCATAATTATATGCTTAAGTAAATTTAGATTTTTTCTTCAGCCCACTGGATCTTCACTGAAGTAAAAGTTAATCCAACTCTATTAATGTCATTTTCTTTATTCTTTATTCTTACTTACTTTCAGACTATCAAAACTATCCAGGTCAATTTAAAGGAAGAAGTAATCTATTACAAGTTTAAAACATCCTTTTTTGACATATTTGTAAGTATTTTACTGTAATTTTTTTTTTAAAGTAGGCTTTTTTTGCCTGGACAAAAATAATTTACATGGCTGCTAAATAATTCACATGGCTATTAAAACATGTCAGCTATTGCATTTTGCAGAATTATTTTTCAGGTTTTTTTCCAAAAACCTTCCTATACTGCCAGCAGTTTACATAGTTTTCTAATAATTTAGTTCACTCAGAAATAATTGTGTTGTTTTATATTTCTCAGAACGTCATCATTGTTTATAAATATTTTGTATGTTCATTTTTCATTAGCTCTTGGCTTTTTTCCGGTTCTCGGTGCTACTTCTTGCATATGCTGTTTTTAAACTCCGTCATTGGTGGGTTATAGCGGTAAGAGAAAATTATTTGCAAATTATGCTTAATTATATAACTTTGTAGCTTCCCAATCTGCTCTTGTTAATGGATTTTCTTTTTCTTTCTCCTTTCCTCTTCATCCCCAAGATCACTACATTGGTGTGCAGCACTTTCCTGATAGTGAAAGTTATCTCCTCAGAAGTGAGTTCGTGAAAAAAATGGGTTCTATCTGAAATTTCTAATGGTTGGAGCAGGTTAAAATATCCTATATTAGCTCATGGGAATTCAGTTCATCATTAAAATTCCAGTGGTGGTAATGGGATTGGAGGTGCAAAAGTGTGCTTACAAATGAAGTACTTTATCCATAATAACTGATCTTCCAAGATGGTGAATAATAGTCTTTAAGGAAAACTTCAACTTCATTAAGCTAACATTCTCCAAATGTGTTGCTGTAATTCCAATACACTGTAGGTAGTCCATATTTAGTGATTACTGAGTGAAACTGCAATGGGGCTTATTTCAGCTTTCCTTAGCAAACTTGTAAAGATCATAAATATGAAGACTGATCATAAAGTAACTTTTTCATCACCATCATAACTGCAAACAGTGCTAAATGAGGCAGTCACTATATGAAGTCTAGCTGTAGACAGTGGTCATTGTGTCTGAAATGTATGACAATTCTAAGTCCAATCCAACTGGAAAAACTATAATAAGTGATCTCCAATACGTGCCTTGAAATTTCTCTCCTTTTTTTCTTTTTCTTCATGCAACAGCTGCTGATCAAAGGAGCATTTGGCTATCTTTTGCCCATCGTTTCCTTTGTCCTTGCCTGGCTAGAAACATGGTTTTTGGATTTCAAAGTCTTGCCACAGGAGATAGAGGAAGAACAATGTGAGTCTGCTTATCCAGTGAGGGTAGGAGTGTCTGATAAAGCTGTTCTTCCACCTATTAAAATGGCGTTATCAGTTTTCTTGGTGAGGCATTCTGACCAGAGACTTCCTTGTAGAATTCAGGGAAGCATTTGCTACTTTAGATTCAATATCTTGTAAGACTTTTTGTTTTTTTTTAATAAGCTACCTCTTTCCTATAAGTAGAAGGAGGTTGGAATTTACCCATGACAAATCCTTTCTTTCTGTCTCATTTTATCTGTCTCATTTTATTTTATACTGCAGAAAAAATTGTGAAGATGGCGGGACTAAGACATCATCTTTAATCTAGAAACATAACCTAGAGACTGCTTAGATGAAAAAAAGTGCTCTATTGATTTAAGCAATTGCTTTTTAGATGTGACAGGCAGAGAGACCAAGCTGAAAAGTTATGGTAGCTTGGCCAGCTGTTATACGAGAGAGAGAGAGAGAGAGAGAGAGAGAGAGAGAGAGAGAGAGAGAGAGAGAGAGGGAGGGAGGGGGAGGGAGGGAGGGAGGGAGGGAGAGAGAGAGAGAGAGAGGGAGGGAGAGAAATCTGCTTTTCTGGATCCAAACAAGCTGCAAAGAGTTGTTCGTTGGTTAAGCAGAATGCCCAGGTTCATAACCTGCTATGATGTAATTAGATTTCTATCTGACTTTAAGATTGTGGTCATGATTTGCAGTTGTTTGAAATGCAGATGGGTAAGTGACCTGGAAACTTTTTAAAATACTGTTCAATAATCATGAAATCTAGATTAGCATTCTGGAAGAAAGACTGAGGATTTTAGCATGAGGATATTGGAGTAGGCAATATGTTTGTCTCTTATTTTCCTATCAATACCCTAAAGTATGTTGGTGACAATTTCTAATCTGTATTAGAAATAGGAAGGCCTGATTTTAAAATTGTATCTATCTTTTAGAGGTAATACCTAGTCTAAAGAATCCAATACCAGCAGGGGTTTTTGGATTCTGGTGATATATAAATTTGAGAAATAAATGGATACAATTGTTGGAAAATAATGAACTGGTATGTTTTTCATTATGAGGCGCTTAAAAAAAACATTAATAGTAACTTTCATCCTGATGATAGAATCATCATATAAAATGTTGCTTGACAGGATGTAGAATACATTTGTTTGTAATATTTGACAGAATTCTCAATTGCTAGATCAGTGAACAGTCAGACAGACCATTATGTTTTCCTAATACTCTTCATCACTGTTTGCTAATCTGAATTGAAAGGACAAAATTATAATTTTCACTCTTATTTGCTTTTTATTCTTACACAGATCTTCCATGAAGACTAAGTCAGGTCTTCATTAGACCAGTCTCTCCTAATTAGGCACTAGATTTTTATCTTTCTCACCAGTGAACAATGAAAAATTGATCGACCTTCCTGACTCTTTCAGTCTCACCTGGGCTTCAATGAAATTATGATTCCAGTTTGTGAAATAATCTAATTTCTAAGAAGATTGCTCACTATTTTCAAATGTCATTTTCCCTTTCATTCAGTAGGCTTTCTCATGTCATATATGGTTTGTGTAGATTGAGCAACAAGCGCCACAAGATAATGACTAAGCCAACCAATTTTTCTTTTCTTTTCAGGGTATGTGGCAGCTCAGGCTGCTTTGTCCCGAGGACCACTCTTTTATTCAGGAGCACTTTCAGATGGCCAGTTCTACTCCCCTCCAGAATCTGTTGCAGGTGACTGATATTTCCTCCTCTCAAACACTTGCTAACCAACCTTCTATATGATGCATTAAGAGTAGGCCTGAAGGAGAACATGGAAGTTATAAATTCACACATGACATTCACATGATTTCTCTTTTGTGAACTGCAATCCCTTTTGTCTTAATAGCTGATAAGAATATGATAAGGCTCTTTCTCCTGTCTGTTAATGAAAACTCATAAAGGATCAGACATAAAAAGCACAGTTTTTACATCCTGGGTATGTTTTAGCACCTATTTCCTAACACACTAATGTGCTTCCAGCAGGTAAAGTCTGCTAGGAACCCCAATTATTATTTACACAGAAAATTGCCCAGTGGGTTTTTCACAATTTAAGTGTCCAGGCTATACTTAAGCTCAACAAAATTAGATGAGGAGAAATTGATGCACATTTATGGGAACATTTGATTCATGGCATAGAATTATCTAATCTGCAAGTCTTCTTCCTTTACATGAATCACATTTTAGGCCTGCCTCCTTTCAGTTGTAAGACAAACCATTAATTCATTCAAAAACCAAGAAGGATTAGTTTTTCTTAGGATTAGCAGTTTTTATACCTCAATATGTTCTAAAAGCAAACTCATGACTAAGTAACCCAAACTGGAATTTAAATATTTAGAGTACATAACAGGAAATACCTAGAGTTTCCTATTTTGTTTTGTTTTTTCCCCAGAATGGTTGGGATTCTCAATGAATTCTAGATCTAGAAATGCTTCTTCCTACTTTACACATAATACTTTACACATAATATCCAAATTTGTAACTATTTATTTTTTTTATCTCTAATGCAGGATCAGATGAGTCAGATGAAGAAGTTATGGGGAAAAGGGCAGTAACCGATGAGGTATGCTTCAATATAGCAGAACCCTTGGGGCAGTCATATTTTGGAATATATTTTTCTGTTTTCATATAATGTAACGTATGCTAGTATTGTTTACAATAAATCTATTTGCTTTTCTGTTGGGTGTCCAGTCTAAATAGCACAATGGAACTGAAATAGAAGCAAAAGTTTAGTCAAGCAAGAGTACAATAGTGGGTAGCAACCCATAATAGTAATGGAAAAGAATCAGGTGTCATTTAATAATGCACCTCATCCATCTATCTATTCTGCTTTGAAGGTGTATAAATCCCTTTATTCATCTTTTCAGTTCATACACAGCTAAAAAAAATGTGATGGATTTCTAAAATGTCCAAGGAAATATTTCCCAGGACAGGTGCTCAAATGTATTTGTGGGTTCTACTCTGAGATAGCTCAGCATTTATCATAGATATTTATCCAAATACTGTGCTTGGAAGATCTTCCAGAATAATCATAGTGATCAGATGTTATATCTGCTTGTATCAAATGTACAACTGTTTTGTGTAGGTCTATGCAAACAGTATATTAAAATTATATTTTATTTATATTAACTTCATACAAATTTTGTAAGTAGGGTAGGATCTTACTTCTCGGAGAAACCCATGGCTTTCAGAAAAATCTGAAAACTCTTTTGTTTTTTGACAAATATGCTTCCCTAAAACACAGCATCAAAGCTTTATCAGAGATTGAATCTTTCCTGCAGAAATTTCAACAGTCACTATGCATCCTAGACCATGGGTAGGAATTGTCTTGAGCTACATATAAAATATATAATATACGTAATGTATATAAACCACACAATCCTGTTAAAAGTTTATGATCTTGTGGGGCCGAATAATAAACCACTGGATTGGACATGCCTATCCTAGACTTATTAGAAAAATCCTCTTGTCTTTTGTTCTTGTTTCTTGCTACCCACCAGGGGGCAGAATTATTCTGTCTAATTTCTACCAACTTCTCAAAGAAGCTCTATTAATCCAGTTTTTGGTATAATTGTAGCATGCTGGTCCTTTTTGTGATGTGGACTAATGATTTGTATTTGCTTTCCTAAATAATTTTTTTTTTTAGTATTGGGAGAAATAAAACAGCAGAGATGGTAGGATGGTGCTGGTTTAGATTGGGAGAGAAGCTTTTGAAAAATGTGTAGGGCATAAAGGCTGGGTTTGCTTATTCTTACTGTTGAAGCAATAGGTGTGACACCTGATTTTTTTAAAAATGTAAGTCATGCAACTACGGTAATATTTAAAATGATCATATGGTTGGAGTTCTGTTTTCAAGGAAACCCGCACTTGTATTTAAAAGATTTTGCAATAACTAAAATATTTAAAATGACAGGACACTTGTTTGGGTATATTTATATGATATTCAAAAATATTAATGTGAGGCTTGGAAATCACATAAAATCCAGAATACTTTTCAAGTCTCTTTAAACAGTACTACTGAATATTTGTGGAAAGATTGCTGAAAATTAACAAATATTTAACTCACTGAAAATAAAATAAAGAAGGCAGGCAATTTTTTTTCTATTATAACCTGGGGGAAGGGAGAGAGATTGTCCTTAAATTCGATTTGAATTTTGGATAAAATTTGGCTATTTGGAGATAAAAAAAACAACAAAACTGTTATGTATAGCTTAGAATAAGTAGAACAAAAGATTTCATTTATTTATTAAATTTATATGTCACCCATCTTATTATCCAAAGCAACTCTGGGCAGCTTGGTTCCTTCCCACCAACGGTTAAAAAAACAGCCAAATCTCCAAACCGGGGAAGACAAGAAGAAAGACAAGTGATTGCAAATTATCTCCAAACCAGGGAAGACAAGAAGAAAGACAAGTGATTGCAAATTATCTCCACTATGTATTTCCATACAGATGCTCAGCCCAGATTACAGCCCTAGCTTGTCAAAACATGACGGTTTCTGGCTTTTAAAAGAGTACCTAACTCCTAAGACCAATCAGCCTGACATCAGTACCGGAGAAGATCTTGGAAAAGATAATCAAGCAACAAATCTGTGAACACCTAGAAGCAAACAAGATTATAACCAATAGCCAACATGGGTGGGTCAAAAACAGATCATACCAAACAAATTTTATTTCATTCTTCAACAAAGTGACCAAATTAGTTAATCAGTGAAATGCTGTGGACATAGTATACTTAAATTTGATAAAATATTTGATAAAGTAGGCTACAGCCTACATGTAACTGGCTGACAAATTGTATTCAACATGTCCTCAACGGAACTACATCTATACGGAAGGAAGTAAGCAGTGGAGTACCCCAAGGTTCTGTTTTAGGCCAAGTATTCTTCAATATCTTCGTAAATGATCTAGATGAGGGAATTGAAGGGGAATTCATCAAATTCGCAGATGGCATTAAGCTGGCAGAAATAGTCAACACCCCAGAAGACAAGCTTAAGATCCAAAGAGATCTTAACAGACTTGGGCTCTGTCTAACGCAATGAAATTCAATATAGATAAAAGTAAGGTTTTACCCTTCGATAAGAAAAACCAACTGTATCAGTATAGATTAGGTGAAACTTGGATTAATGTCAGTGACTGTGAGAGGGATCTTAGAGTCCTAGTGGACAATCACTTAAATATGAGCCAACAGTGTGCAGTAGACAGCCAAAAAAGCCAATGCAATCCTAGGCTACATTAATAGAGGGATAGAATCAAGATTACGTGAAGTTCTAATACTGCTTTACAAAGCCTTAGTGCCACACTTGGAATACTGCATCCATTTCTGGTCACCACAATACAAAAAAGATGTTGAGACTCTGGAAAGAGTGCACAGAAGAGCAAAACAAAATGATTAGGGGGTTGGAGGCTAAGAACAGTTACAGGAATTGGGAATATTTAGTCTAATGAAGGACTAGGAAGGACATGATACCACTGTTCTAATATTTGAACAGCGCCTACAAAGACAAGGGGATCAATCAAACTATTTTCCAAAGCATCAAAAGATAGGATAAGAAACAGGCTGGAAACTAACCAAGGAGAGAAGCAATCTAGAACTAAGGAGACATTTCCTAATGTTGAGAGCAATTAATCAAAAGAATAGCTTGCTTTCAGAGGTGGGTGCTCCATCACTGAAGGCTTTCAAAAAGAGACTGGGCAATCATTTGTCTGAAATGATATAGGGTCTTCTGCTCGAGCAGGGGGTTGAATTAGAAGACCTTCAGCTCTATTCTATGTTCTGCATTCTTGTTTTCAAGAAAGCTGATTTTTATACTGATTCAGTATAAAGAGTTTCATCTTTCATTCATCCTGAAATGGTACCTGTCAGTAGAATTTGATTACTTTGACCTCGGGAACAGCATGGGGGGGATACAGAATGCAGATGGTAAATAAAGGGATGTCTGTTTGGTGCTGCATGTAGCCAAGAGTATCTCCTGGTATCATATTAGATTAAGTTAAGTCTTGATCTAATGAACTTGAGATAGCAGCATCTGCTGAATTTAAAAAGAATTATATGTAGCTTAAGTTGTGTTTCATATTTTGGCCTAGGAGAGAGAATATGTCCGGCAAGGCAAAGTAGCAATGGAGGTAATGGATCAGATCTTAGCTCAAGAAGAAAACTGGATTTTTGAGAAATGCACAGTAAGTCTATAGTTTTGAGTAACTGCTGGCTACAAATGCTAGAACTAGTCATGTCACCTGGAAATGGCACTATTTGATTTAGAAAAAGCAGTGCTGAAGTTTTGTGATGGTCTCTGTATTGCTATGGTATTACCTGGTGCAGGATCAATACTTTATCATTCTTGCATCGAGACTTCTCAAATAAGTTTTAATAAGGACTCGATATCCTATATCCTCCTGCCTCTTTGGTTTCAGTTTTTACAAATTTTGCTGTAGAGCAAAATTTAAATTAAAAATTATAATAATGAGGACCTGCTGAATAATTTGAGGGAGACAAATTTTCTTCCCAGTTGCTGCTCAATCCCAGGAGGCAGCACTTTCTGCTCATCCTGCATTCTAAATTGAGAAAAGGAAGAAGTTGGACCATGGAGACCCAACAATTGTACCAGAGGGAGAGAATGCTTGTGTAGAATGTATGGTTTCATGTAGGCTGTATAAGGCTTTTGCAGGATTCTGTTTCATAGAGGTAAAATCTGAGCACAACTGCCTGTAATCAATATTTATCAAAGCAAAATAAGGATAGCAGTAGCATAGCAGACTTATATACCACTTCATAGTGCTTTACAATACTCTCTGGGAGGTTTACAATGTCAGCATATTGCCCCCAACAGTCTGGGTCCTCATTTTACCAACCTCAGAAAGATGATGAGTTAACCTTGAGCCGGTCAGGATTGAACTCCTGGCTGTGGGAAGAATTTCAGAATACTGCATTCTAAATGCACTATCAGAGATACACAGTATATAATGGGTTAACAATCACAGTTTATCTCAATTCACTTGGCACTAAATTCTTGATGGAAGAGCAAAACATTCCTGTGGATACAGTGGATATAAAAAGTCTATACACCTTTGTTAAACTGACAGGTTTGGGAGATGTAAAAAGAAATCAAACTAAGATTAATCACTTGAGAATTTTTTCCACCTTGAATACAACATATAAGCTGTACAATTCAATTGAAAAACAAACTGAAGTCTTTCAGGAGGAAAAAATAAAAAACTTAATATGGTTGCATAAATATATGCACCCTTTTATAAGTAGGGATGTAGCTGTGTTTAGAAATAACCAATGATATTCAAATTGATATTAAATAGTAGTCAATACACCCCTGTCATCAATTCAAATGACTCTGATCAAGCCATATAAGATTTAGTTGTTCTACTAGGATTTTTCTGAATTTACTCAGTTGCCTCTTACAGCCAAAGTCATGGTCTCCAAAGAGCTTACAATGCATTGAAGAGATCTCATTACTGGAAAGTATCACTCAGGACAAAGGTTCAAAAAAATCCACACATTGGATATACCATGGGACACAGTGAAGACTGTCATCAACAAGTAGAGAAAATATGACACACCAGTGACATTACCAAGAACTAGATGTCTCTCCAAAGAAAACACAACAAGAAAAGTAATCTGAGGAGCTGCCAAGAGGACTACAGCAGTATTAAAGGAGCTGCAGGATTGATTCTGTATTACTATGACAACAATCTTCCATATTTGCCATATGCCTGGGCTGTGGGATAGGGTGGCAAGAAAGAAGCCTTTTTTTACAAAGAAAAATATCCATGCCTGGCTGTATTTTCCAAAACCTACAGTACATCAAGTCTGACAAAAGCATGTATTATTAAAATGTATTATAATCTGATGAGACCAAGGTTGACCTTTATGGTCTTAGTTCCAAAAAGTATGTTTGGTGCAAAAACAACACTGCAGCATTGATAATACATCATACCACACTGAAGCATGAGGATGGGATTTTCATGCTTTGATGCTGCTTTTCTTCAGTTGAAACTGGGGCTTTCGTCAAGATGGAGGAATTATGAATAGTTCCAAATATCACTCAATTATGAATAGTTCCAAATATCACTCAATTTTGCTAAAATGCTGAAAATGAAGAGGAATAACACCTTTACAACAATGCATATCAAAGCATATCTCCAAATCAACAAAAGAATGGTTTCATTAGAAAAAAAATCAAAGTTTTGGAAGAGCCCAGCAGAGCCCAGATCTGTATCCAACTGAAACTCTGTGGGGTGACCTGAAGAGGGCTGTGCACAGGAGATTCCCCATGCAATCTTAGCAGATTTGGAGCACTTTTGCAAAGAAGAATGGACAAAGATTCCCAAGGTAAGATGATGGCTCCCACCCCAAAATGCTGTCATTTTTGATTGAACACTGTCATAAAATCAAAAGATCTTTCAAACAAAATAATTAGTTTGCGGATATGCACATTTATACAATCATGTTTTTGTAAGTTTTTTGTCTTTTCTCCCTGAATTCAGTTTATTTTTCAATTGACTAGTACAGCTTATGTGTTATGTTAGAGATAGAAAAATTCGAAAGTGATTTAATTTGGTCTGTTTTTTTCCATCTCAAAACCCTGGCATTTTAACAAGAGTGTATAGACATTTTATATCCACAATAAGCCATAGTTTAAATAGTTATACCTAGTCCCTGTTTTTTTGTACTTCTGTTGAACTACTACAGCCTCTGAGATTAATCAAGAATGCTGTCTTAAGTAATTCATCTGTTGCCAAATTAGGCCAGCCAGGGCACATTCTAAGAGGCTTCTTGGTGGCTTCACTCTGAACTGGGTGCTGAGTACTCCCTGAGGGCCAGGCTATTTGCGAGACCGCCTACTACCTCATAGTTCCCTTCGTCCGGTTAGATCCCACAGGCTGAGCCTCCTTCAGGTCCCGTCGGCCAAGCAGTGCCATTTGGCGGGGCCGCGGGGGAGGGCTTTCTCTGTGATGGCGCCCACGTCTTGGAACCAGCTCCCCCCGGAGATTAGGACCGCTCCCACCCTGTTGGTTTTCCGCAAGCTGCTTAAGACCTGGCTTTTCCGGCAGGCCTGGGGTTTATAAAATCTGACCCCTGGATGAATGTTACTGTATTGTTTGTCTTGTTAAGTTATATTGTGTTTTTATTGTTAGCCGCCCGGAGTCCTCCGGGAGTGAGGCGGTCTATAAATTTTAATAAATAAATTTACAGAAGCAGTGGAAGTTGTTAGACTGGCAGTTGGTGAATCAGATAGACAAGCTAGTATAACTTTATGAAAGGTCAAGCCTTGGAGCCAGCTCAGTTAATAAAAAAGTGGTGGATGGGGGCGGAGTGTGCTGCAATCCTCAAAATTTTCAGTAAAAGGGCAAATGTTGAACTCATGTGACTTTAATACCTCTTGTGCAGGAATTTGGGGATACAATTCATTTTCTCGAAATGCCATTCTATGGCAAGGTTTTCATCCTAAAGGTAAGGTGCTTTTCAGCTTCCTTCTAAGCTTTCCATCCATTTTTTCTTTCCTTTCCTTTCCTACACCTTTTTTTAAAAGTGGAGGGAGTAGAATGGGCAGATACAATCTATGTTTTGAAAGAGATGCTTTCTGGAGGGGAATATACTGTGGGCCGGTAGCTTGCTGCCCTGTGCTACACGTATTTCTTTTTTGTGTCTAGCTGGTATTTCATTCTTTCTAGCTCTTCTCCCAATAGTGTTGTTTGTTTGAGAGATTTTAAATTGAGGTATGGAGGCATTTCAGCTCCCATCAGGCCTGGCTTACGTGACTATCAGTTAGGGATGAGATGAGTTGGAACTCCACAACCTCTGAGGAGCACATGGGTCTCAAATGAATATTTTTTTTAATTATTGTTTTAGTGAGTGTGAAAGATATGCCACTAAATGAAAATTATTTTTCTAGAATTGGGGTATTTAACTTTGAGCTCATCCTTCAATTAACTGACTAGTTAATTTTACCCTATGTTACTAGTGTTTCTGGGGGAAGAGACTTTGCAGTGTAACCTGTGTCCCTCATTTGCAGGCTATTCTACAATGTCCGGCTGAGTTAGTATACCAGGAACTGATTCTCCAACCAGAGAAAATGGTCTTATGGAATAAAACTTTGCTAGCATGCCACGTAAGTCTTTCCAGACAGACTTATAACCAAAAGTTATTCTTCACTTATCTCTAACATTATTTGTAGTATTTCTATCTCTCTAATATGCCAAGCTGAAATTCTGTACTATATGTGGCTCTTCTTGCTGTGAACTGTTATCTTCAGGAAATGATTGAGAGAGGAAGAGGGATGATTTCTAGGCTTTTAGGTTTCTTGTTTTATTTTGGGCTTTTCTTTTCAATTGTTATTAATCAGAAGTGCAGCATACTTGCTCATCCTTTTGTTTGCTAAAGACACTTTTGCTGTTTGATGACACTTGCATGAGCATTTCATGTTAGGATTGAAAGATTCAAAAACACAGATTTCCCCCCTCCCCAATTATTGCATAATTTATAATTTTTTAAATAAATAGAATAAATATGTATACTGTTTATAAAATAAGAGGATCTTTGAACTGCTACAGAGTTACCCAGGATTTGCTACTTAGATTTCATTTTTCTATCCATTGGTTTCTGCCAACAGCAAGTATTTTTCTGCTTTATTTAATGACAAAGCCTATTGCTTTCCCTTAGTCTTGTACTCTCCAAATATATTGGCTCAGAATTTCTTTTGTTACCAGATTAAATATATGGATGGTTACAATACCAATCAGTGATACTGTTTTTCTTCTGTGTAAATATGGACATTATTTTTATGAACATACCTGAAAATAATCATCATTGTTCTGATTTCTTCACAAGTCAAAATTCCTTTACAAAGAAATCATGCCAAGGAAATACTCTAAACTAGCTTATGTTGGCAGAAGTGGGAAAACATTCTGTTTTCTTACCAGATCTTGGAACGGATTGATGATAACACAACCGTATCCTATGATGTGGCAGCTGGTGCCGCAGCAGGTGTTGTCTCACCTAGGTAAGTTCTGATTTCAGACTATATTTTTCGCTATCTAGTTCATTTCAATGAACTGATGTATCATATGTGTTCTCTACAAATCAGAGATTTTGTAAATGTGCGTCGGATTGAGAGAAGAAGAGACCGGTACATTTCATCAGGGGTGGCAACAATTCACAGCTTGCGCCCTCCTACTTCCAAATACGTCAGGTATGAAAATCTTATTGTTGTCCTATATCATCCCAGGAGCCGTTTTCAACACACAGGTAGGCAAAGGCAGATTTTTTTTTTTTAAATTATAAAGCTTTTAGTTACTGTCTTCATTGGCAGAGAAATAAATACACCATAGAGCTTCCTATATAGTAGCATTTTCTGAGCAATTAGTTTGCTTTTGGCCTCCAGCTGCAGTAAGAGGAAATAATTTATTGTTCATAATAATTGTAAATAATCTAGGAACATTCTTGGATGTAAGCTGAATTGTAAGATAGCAGCTTATACATACTTGGGGACTCTGCAGTATGTATGTCAAGTCTTTTTATTTTTTTATTTTTAGATTTATTTGCTGCCCATCTCATTTCAAAGCAACTGTGAGCAGCTTACAATATAAAAACATTAATCAAATATGAGTTTACCCCAAAAAATCAAAATACAAACAATAAAATCATTGTACAAGATAGAGAAGGAGGGAGCTGGATGCACAGAGAGAGGGGATTAACTCTTAATTAATCATCCACCTGCAGTTTGAAGTGCCCCCATTGGGGACCCAAGCCATCTGGCAGAATGAGGTCTTAAAAGCTCTTACAGAAAGTCAGCAGGGTGGGAGCCAGTCTCATCTCAGAGGGTATGATATTTCAAAGGGTAGGAGCTACGGCAGAGAAGACTCTTCTCCTGGACTTTGCCAGCCAAAATTCCTTGACTGAGGAATCTGCATTATGCTCCCTATGCCTTACTTTGATCAAAGAGCAGCAGAGCATACATAAGTATATTTATAAGATACAGATCAATTAAAATACAGAGAGAGAGAGAGAGAATGTGAATGTGAATGAATCTAGGCTGAGTGACTTCCAGAACTGTGGAATGTTAAGCATCTATACTCCAGTAGCCAATGATGGCTGGGAGTGACAGCAATTATAGACCAGCACAATATAGTAAGTAATTGGCCATGTAATCTCAAATATTTATACCATTGTTACTTGTCTCATGTTGTGTTTTGTACTTTTCAAATTGCAAGTAATATATGCAGTGCTTTTTTTCTAAAAAAAAAAAAAAAGTGCCGGAACTCACACATGTCACACAACCCGCTTTGCCTACCCTACAAGGTTCCATCCAAAAAAGGTGCCGGAACTCCATTCTGGGCATTCTATGAGAAAAAAAGCCCTGAATATATGTGAAAACTTTGAAAACTATTTTTAAAAACAAAAGGTCAAAATTCCCATTCCATATATTTTCCAAAATTTCTGAAAGGCAGTCGGGCTCATGTTTTGATTATTTTTCCAAGTGAAAAGAAATTTTCAAAATAGGTATTCAGGATATCTGTAGCACTTTCTTACTCAGATGCCCTGTTCCATTTGTATAGTTACCGTATTTTCTGGCATATAAGACGACTCGGCGTATAAGATGACCCCCAACTTCGGAGACGATTTGCATGCTTAGAAAGTCGTCTTATACGCCGGAAACTACCGTATTTTCCGGTGTATAAGACAACTCGGGGTATAAGATGACCCCCGACTTCGGAGACGATTTGCATGCTTTAGGAAGTCGTCTTATACGCCGGAAAATATGGTAGCTGAAACTTGCTACAATGGTGGCTTTGGCCAGATTTAGAGAAAAAAACAAAATGTTCAGTTTTCTGCTTCCTGGAAGAATAGAAATTTGGAGTTTTTCCTGTATCAACAGGAATTATTGAGTTTCATGTTAGCACTCAATAAATTCTTGTCTTAAAACAAATGGAATAATCACAGCACTCATCCTTCAGAATAGTTTCTATGGTCTTTTGTGTATGTCTGTAATGAAGGCTGCACGAATAAGACACACCTTCTGACTTTAATGTAGAAGCCACCCCCTGGGATGGTGCATTACAGAGCTGCCCACATAGAAGTATTTTCTGAGCAATCAGTTTGTTTTTGGCCTCCAGATAATGTCTTGTGATGAGCAAACTCCAGTTATGAGCAATTTCCAACAAAGCTTCTTTGTCGTCGTTGCTTTTTGCCTCGGGTGACCAATCAGGGTGTTTTTGTTTACCACCTTTATTTTTCTGTGTAATAACATTAAAACATCATTGGCTTTTAATTCAGAATTTGTGTAGCAATTGTAAAGATATATGAGAGGGACTGTCTTCATTTCACATGTCATTGTGCATTATGGGATGTTGTGTATCTTTATCCTGTTCAAGGAAATTGAGTTTCTGTTATTCAAAATGCTCCAGTTAAAAACAACAACAGTTTTTTGCATCTGTTATCAAGATACCAATCAGATAAAAACTGGCATCTTTTCACCCATTTCTTTTTCTCAGTATTTAAATTTGTGGGATATTCCTTGAAGGGCATCCTTCTTGGTGAGAAGTCTAAGTACATCTGTACCTGTGGTTGGTGGCTTGTTCCTAACTAACTTCCCATGAAATACAGCTTACTGATTTTAAAAAAAGTCAATAAATTTGCAAAATCTTTATGGCCAGTATCATTCACAGCTGCTTTCCCATTCGAAGTAATTTGGGTGTCATTATCTTTGAAATAGTTGGTGCTCTCTTTAGCACTCCATTTATGAAATGTTCCTAAGGAAACTCCAAGCTGGAAGCTTATTACCTAGTTTTCAATAGCTGGAGGTGGGATTGCAGTTGAGCTAATTAATTAATCAATTAATGATTCTAAAAGGGCATCATTAGAAACAAAGGAGTATAATGACAGTGATAATGTCTAATTTGTTTTCATAATGTAAATGTACATTGCCTTGAACTTTTCTGTTCAATAGTTGGTCTGCCATTAAACTAAATTTTATCTTACTTTTTTCTGCTCTGTCAGTATATCTCCAACATTATTTATGGTTTTGGTTTTTTTCAGAGCAGAGAATGGCCCAGGAGGTTTCGTTGCCCTGAAATGTCCCACCAATCCAAATCTTTGTACCTTGTTCTGGATACTCAACACGGACCTTAAGGTAAAGCATATTTTATCTTTCTAGGTCTTGATTTTAATACAGGCTTATAATTACAAATTGGTCCATTGTGTTTTACTCTACTTTAATATTTTTCAAAACAACTGCTGACTATTACTGCATTGTCTTTGGCTCCTTGGAGCTTGTAGGATACACTGAGCAGAATGTTACATGAATTGTGTAACAACTAGATTCTGTTGCAATACATAGTTTACTTCCTACCGTTTCTAGGAGACATGGTATTATATAAATATCACAGATTAATTCATACATACTTGGGCATTTTGCAAAATGACATCCCACTGATCTTTTTATTCCAACCAGTAACATGAGTCTAGGAGCCATGGTGGTGCAGTGGTTAGAATGCAGTATTGCAGACTAACTTAGCTCATTGCCAGGAGTTCGATCCTTACCACCTCAAGGTTAACTCAGCCTTCCAAGGTTGGTAAAATGAGGACCCAGATTGCTGGGGGCAATATGCTGATTCTGTAAACTGCTTAGAGAGGGCTGTAAAGCACTATGAAGCAGTATATAAGTCTTAAGTGCTATTTCTAAGTGCTATTCTAATTTACAATACATATATTTTATGACACATAAAATACTTTGTTTACAAATGCTATATAAAATATGAAATTACCAATGTGGGGCTGCCTGCAGTTCCAGGTTAGTTTTGTTTGCAGCAATTCCCACTTTAGAGCTTCATGGGAGAAATTGGTGGTATTCTTCCTTATCAGAACACACAGTGCTGCCATTTTTAATTTTTAATTATTTCCTGGCTTAAAAAATCTGTTGTTACCAGAAGAAATTGGAAGAAGAAATAAAAATAGTGAGAATGTGCTAATTAACTTATGCCTCTCTAACAAACAAGCCATCACTATTTTAAGTGAACTCAATAATAGCTCAATTATGCAGTTTCACCCATCACAGTGCTTATATTATTCTAATCTTATGGTTAGAAATGAAACTATATTGTGATGGAAAACTATGATTTGCAGGTCAAATGTTATAGATTTCATTTCTAAATATACTTGACAAAAAGATGTCTAAAATCCTTGTTCTGCTTAAAGTTAGTGTAGATGAAATTGAACTAGATGACATAGTTGTACAGAGTAAGTTCCTTGTTTTTGTTCATTTTAAAGAGAGAGCTTAGCCATAATTTGTGGTTAACCTCATTTACTCAGTAATGCCTCAGGTAAAACTGAAGTTGGATGGCAGAACCGGGAAAGATCTTGCTCTACCTTAGAGGCCACAACTATGTATCAATATTTGATAATTTAACTAGATTAGATTGGAGCAATGAGCATTAGAATATATAAACATTAAATTGATGTGTTTTGATTTGCTTATTTTGTCCTATAGGGTCGGCTTCCCCGATATCTAATTAATCAAAGCTTGAGTGCCACCATGACAGAATTTATGTTCCACCTGCGTAAGCGGATTATGGATATCACATCAAGATCTAATTCTTAAAACTTGGTTTAACATTCCTTTTGAATGTTCTGTGAAACTATCAAGGCCCAAAGAAGTGGATACCTCTTCCTACTAGTTGAAAAAAAATATTTAGATGACATTCAGGATAAAAATGAAAAAATGAGCCTGTAGCTGGTGATGTAAATGAATAGACTCAGGAAGATAATCATGTGGGAAGAGGAGATAAGATGGCTGATGGTTCAAATCAGAACATGTTGAAAAGAAAAATTAGGACAAAATCTCTGAGATCTCTTGCTGACGATCAAAGTTAACACTGTAGTTGTTGAGCCATAAGATGTGCCAAATTAATTCATGAACATAATTGCAAAATCCAGTGGCTTAATTAATCTCTTATACTTCTGTCGTCCCTCTTTTCTTCCTTGGCATGGTCATACTATTTCTGACTAGTATAAACTGATAAACACATCCAAGTGTGAAGAGTATCATCAAGTAATCCTGCAAATGAAGTGATATGGTTGGAGTGCTGCAGAATAAGCCAGATAATTTTCTAATCACTGTTATATCAACTCTAGACCCTCCACTTTCCTAAAGAATGATGTACCCCTTCATGTCAGAGGACTGAATTGCCCAGTGGTGTGACCATAATTTGACTATGTATCCTTGAAGAGGTGATGGTTTCAGGAAATGAAATTCCCACTATCTCCATTGAGTACATGGATTAAAATTGTGGTTCAAATTGGAATGTGCCTATCTGGGCTGCTGTTCCAGTTCTATCATGATTTTTTTTTTTTTAGTTTCTTCCCAAGAATGTGAAGAATGTCCCATCTCTAGCTGCAGAACTGAACCTTCTATAGTGGCTAACATTTCATAGTTTGATGATGGTCTTCCATCCTCTTGTGAGTAGGCTGGAAGGACTTGCTAATTAAGGCCAAGATTTATATTCTGTATATTCCTAAATGACTTCTTAATCCAGAAACAGTGAATTCCAGCCCTTTTCCTGAAGGATGCATTGTTAAATATAAGAGAAGCTTACTTGAAAACACCTTGTTATCTGCTTCTTTTCTTTGCCCTGACAGCATCATGAGGCATGTGCTGGATTTGTCATAATAATGAATGGACCTTCTTAAGGCAAAGATTGGGGCTACCACCAGACAATGGGGATTATGCTTCCTTAAAGTAGATACTTGTGGTCCATCTTCTTCCACCAAAATCTATTTTCATGAAAAATGATTCCTTAACAAATGCAGTTCCTAAGAAGGTTTTAGGATATGAGTTCCACTAGCAGTTCCATCTATCTTACATATATCTTGCCTATTACTGTCGAAGTGAAACCTTACTGCCTATCATCTCTGGGAATAAGGAAAGTTATAAACAAGAAGCTGCTTCAAAATATTTTTCTTGATTTTTTTTAAGTAACTTGCAGCACCATGAAATATGTGCAGCAGTTTTCATCTCTAAGGATTAACAATTAATCTTATTTAAATGCCTTCAGTTACTTTTAAACATTCTGATATCATTGGGAAGTGGCTTGTACTTTTTTGTAAATCTGACAGAGTTTTCTTTGCCTTTACACCTCATTTAAAAAGCCACTTGAATAAAAAAACATGCTTTTTGCTTCAAATATTTGAGAATTAATCAAATAAAGTAATAATAAAAATTTCACTGTCTGAATGTGTATTTCTTTTGAATCTGATATGTATCTTTTTACTTTCAGCTCCAAGAGCGTTGGGCATGCTGGGAATTGTACAAGTAGTCCTCGACTTACAACAGTTCATTTAATGATTGTTCAAAGTTACAGTGGCACTGAAAAATATGACTTATGACCATTTTTCACAGTTATAACCTTTCCAGCATCCCCATGATCATGTGATCAAAATTCAGATGCTTGGCAGTTGGTTCATATTTATTACTGTTGTTGTGTCCCAAGTTCATGTGATCACCTTTTGTGACCTTCTCACAAGCAAAATCAATGGGGAAGCCAGGTTCACTTAACAACCAGGTTACTAACTTATCAACTGCAATGATTCATTTAACAACTGTGGCAAAAAAGACTATAAAATGAGGCAAAACTCACATAACAACAGAAATTTTGGGCTTAATTGTCGTAAGTCAAGGACTACCTATATTAGTTTTGAGCATTTAAAATAAGTTTAGGGCAGACTGCAAAGCAAGAAGGAAATAGTTAATCTTTGTTTTTATTATTCTAAATAAGTTTTTGCTTTTCTGTATTATGCAATTAATTGGGTGTTTTATATATAACATGACCCAAAGCATGCTTTTTCATAAGTGCACATGTGTTCTGTTATAATTTATCCTTCAAAAGCATATCTGGTTTATTTTATTGCACTTAATCTACTGAGAAAGAAGCAACGGGCCCTTGTGGTACCTTTAAAAAAACAAAATAAAATGATCTAATGTATAAAATATAGGCCACAAAACTATCTAAATAAATTATTAGCCTTAATGTGGCTATTAGTTCAATTAAGATCAGTTACATATTTTGATACTTCACTTCATGGCTTACACATGAAAACTTTTTCCTAAAGATAATAGAACTTGCCATCTACTTAATATGACATCCAAATTCAGAATTTCTATAGGAATGCAGTTTGAAGTTCTAAGGTGCAAACAAGCCGTTTCAAGAATGTTTGTTCAAGCTGTATACTGGCTGATTAAAAAACAGAATTGCCTGAGATTGCAACATGAACCTACAGAAATTGGAATTGAAACTGATCCAAAGAATGAATGGCGAGAACCATAGAATGAGAAGCTAACTTTTAATCCTGTGCCATTTGAAGCATCTGTTTTAAGCTTACTTGGGCTGTCATGAAACAGGCAATGAGTAATTTTTGTTGGCAATTGTCCAACAAATAGGAGGAAGAAAGATGCATGTGAGTTTTTCTGCCTCAATGCTCAAAGTAGTCATAGCTCTTGAAATGAGAAAAATTTCAATATGTTGGGATTGTAACCCATAAGAACAGCTGCTTATTAAGAAATAGTCTAGTAAAATATTTAATTACTTATTAATAACATTCTAGTGAAGCCAGAACTTTTCCCTTTAGTAGTTAAATGGTTAAAAAAGAAGCTATGAAAGATTATTTCAATATATGATTACTGCAGCTAGATTATTATATGCATAGATAGAAATATTCAACACCAATCACTATGGCTGTTGAAGCTGAATTTGCTACATTTTGCTGAGATTGATAAATTGATTTCTTCAATCAGAGAAAAGACATCTATATTTATTTGTCATTGGAAGCCTTTCATTGGAAGCCTTTTTGCACATAAATGATCTTACAATTTATGGGTTTAATGATTAGACTGAATAGATTATAAAAAGAATAATAGGATGTAACTTTAACAATAGGAGTTAAAATATATTTGTACTTATAACTGCTGTGAAGAATATCAGAAGCCACATCTTATATCTTTTTTCTTTGTTTTCTTTTTTCCCTCTTTCTTTTGCACTTTTGCTTTTTCCTTGCTTTTTGTTTTTTCATTTCATATTATTTATATTAGCCTGTGTTAATTTTTATTTTCTTGTTTAAAAGTCATCTAGGTATAGATAATAAAACAATCCTAAGGCAGATAAGTGTTCTGACTCCCAAATTAGCCTTATTTAGATCAAATTAGAAATGCTCTGAAACATTGACTACATGGAAATTAGAAATTTCATTCATTTCAATTCTATTAAATTCCTACTTTCTGAGCTATAGGGATGTAGAATTCTAAGGTGCATTACATATAAAACTTATATTAACTCTGTTCTAAAATCCAAAGTGATTTGCTGATGCTTTGTATATGAACCATAAACTATAGCCTAGGACAAAAAGAAAAAAATATCCCAAACCAATACTGGAATTTAACTGACATCTTCTGTCCTGTCAGCCTCTCTTCTATCTGCTTTTTTATAAGTATTTATGGTGATGTCACAAAGATATAATCAAAGATCACTTGAAAAAAAATTATTGCGCTTCTCAAGATGTGAAGGAATATGATTACATTCTCACATACCATAGTATCCTCATTTTGTTATTGAAGCTAGATAACTTTTATTGCAGCCTGACCTCCAGATGACTTGGTTCCTGTATAGGCCAATATGAAGTGGCCAGGACTGGAAGGTCACCTCTGGAAAGAGACTGGGAAAAGCCTGCTACATTTAAAATATTTGAGTGGGGTGTTTTTGTTTTTTTTTTTTTTACAAAACTTGAAAAGCTATCAAGGCAGAAAATTCTCTTAGCTTAGGCATTCTTGCTCGGAGTTAAAAAAAACAAAAAAAACCCACTGAAACCATGCATAATACCAAACAGTATTTTACCTCAGAAATGAAGTTCACTGTTGTTTTGGCAGGCCAGTGTTACGATGGTTGTGAAATGAGTCCCATCCATTAGTCGTCTTGGCTTCAAAATATGTTGGGTACTTTGTCTTCACAAAATTACAAGGTATCTGACAACTATTCTCTTAATTCTTTGATCCAGAAGTCTTTGGGGACATTAGGAGTTTTGAGTGTCGAGCACTGTTAGAAACTGGCCACCATCTTGTGGAATGACCATTTAAAAACCCATGTTCTAAAAGTCAAATTAATATGGTAATTGCTCACTATTCACCATTCTAGCTTACCTTTTGGATGGTGAGGTACATTTCCTGACAAGCATGGAGGTACACCCTCCTTATATTTTTATTTTCTAATTAAATCCATGAAATTTAAATAAGGTTCATGGCAGCGCTACTATTTTAAAAAATTAAGGGAATAAACAAAATCAAGTCAGGGGCTCCAACTGATACCAGGATAGATAGGTGTCTCTGGATTTATTGTTTTCTAGAGGCACTTTATAATTTAATACTGCTTTAATAGGTCTTGAGGAAGATAACAAAAATGAACTTACTCTTCTTCCCATATAAAAGCTAAATGCCAAGACCACAATATATTATGTTGAATTTTGTATGCTTTGTTCAAACCCTTAAGCTATGAAAGAAACATTTCACATGATCTCTGCTTATGACTGTCAGACTGTTTAAAGACAAATATATTAGACTTGTTTGCCTTTTTTTTCAAGCGCAGTTTCTGCTATCTATTATATACTCTGATATACTAGTTATAGGCATATTTTATGATCTGCAGCTTTTGCAAGTGACATGGATTTCTTGGGCCAAGTGTGTTGTTGCTGTTATCATGATGAAGATGAATTAGAGAAGAATTCATTGATCACTGGGTATGTATTTTAGCATTTCATAATATGATTGCAATTGTACACATTTGCATAATTCATATAAAAATCTTTTCCTTTGAAAGTAATACTGGAAAGTTGAGTGTTTAGATCCATCTCCCAAGAGTCTTCTAGTGTTGTCCATTCTATTGCTTGTTCCCCTTGTGTTCTGTTACTCCTCTCTAATTCCAGTAGAAGGACAACTTTTGATTCCCTTCCCTATATTATTTATCAATAGTTTCTGCCTGTAAATCTGGCAGATTGGATGTGCTCTGAGTACATTCATGAAGCAGGGTCACCTAGTGTGGCCTCAGAAGCACGACTTGTGTGTTATGGTGCCTTGCTTATGGAATGGCCTCTACCTATAGATAGGATGGCCCCGACCCTGTTGGCCTTCAGGCACTGGGGCCAGGATTTAATAAGTTTGACACCTGGTGGATGATGAATGGATGGAAGTTTTTATTGAGACCTTAGCATAGTTTATTGCAATGAATGATTTATAATGTTATTATATTTTTATTTTGTTTGCTGCCCAGATTTCCTTTGGGAGATGGGCTACTATATACGTTTGTTTAATAAATAAAAGCAATATTTCTGCAGCGTTGGGGATGTTTGTTTATCTCTTCTGAAACTATCTCTAGGTTTAGATGCTGCTGTTTGGGTTGCATAAAGTAATGGCTTGTTATTAGTATAAATAAGACAGCATCTGTGAGTGCTTTTACTTAGCTCCAAGGCAGATTTCTCCTGTTCCTGCTTTCAACAGGATCTGATCTCTTAATCTCTTGAAATTAATTTCATTAAGGTGGCATGTCCAATGTCAAAATATTTTGCTTCATTCTGTATTTGTAAGTTGAATCTGTTCTCCTTTAATTGTAATTGTAATTTCTTCTAGTTTCCTCTAGTGTCCAACCTTCAAAGTCCTATTCTATCTTTAAAAAAATAAATAAATTCAAAGATGTCAGACTTAGCCAAAGAGCAACCAAAGTTCATTTCTTTATTTGATTACATATTCAATCTTGCCAAACTAACCCTATACTACCCTAATCTAATGGATTACCCTGGAAATTTTAGGAGTGTTATCCTAAACCTTGTCCTCTTCCTATGACCCTGTTTTGGGCTCTGTTTGCTCTTACCTCACACCCCTCCTTGGAATGTGCTCCTTCCTTCCAGGGAGCCCTACTGAGTTACAAAAACATTTTTCAATGGGAAGCATTCTTATGCAATAGTAAATAATTACAAAATTTTAAAGTAAGTTTGTAATTTTACAAAATTAAAGTTCTAATCACCCATTTGCTGTTTATTCTAAAATAAAAAATAAAATTGTATTTAAACTTCTTTCACTAACAATTGAAGGAAACTCATTCAATGTTTTCAGATTTGTTGATCTAAAGCTTCCTAATAGTTGAAAAACAGTTAACAAGCAATTTTCAAAAGTGATTAGAAAAGAAAGTATGTAAACCTTGCATCCTTTTGAAGGTGCTGACCAGGATTTGAGCAAGCTGGCCATTCCTTCTTCTCCCAGAGCTCTAAACCAGGTAGAGACAATTGTCTTGTCATCTCCTCATGAGGAACTGCTGTCTGGAGCACTTGTGGGCAATCTCAAATTCTCTCCTAGTCTGTTTTCAGACTTGTTGCCCTGGCTGAGGAATTCTGGGATCCGATATATCTCTAAGTTGCCAATTTTGAAAAATACTGCTCCAGAGGAATGATGATGGATTCTCTAGCAAGTGTGAAGCTACACAGTCTGTGAATCACAATTTAGTAGCCATGTCTGAGCCCCAATTCCCAGACAGCTTTGAATATATAGTGAGGGGAAAAATTATTTGATCCCCTGATGATTTTGTACATTTGCCACTAACAAAGAAATGATCAGTCTATAATTTTAATTGTAGGTTTATTTTAACAGTGAGAGACAGAATAATAACAACAAAAAATCTAGAAAAACACATTTCAAAAAAGTTATAGATTGATTTGCATTTTAATGAATGAAATAAGTATTTGATCCCTTCACAAAACCTGATTTAGTACTTGATGGCAAAACCCTTGTTGGCAATCACAGGTCAGACGTTTCTTGTAGTTGGCCATCACACATCTCAGGAGGGATTTTGTCCCACTCCTCTTTGCAGATCCTCTCTTCAAGTCAAGGTTTCGACGCTGATATTTGGCTCTCTCCACAGATTTTCTATGGGATTACGGTCTGGAGACTGGCTAGACCACTCCAAGACCTTAACATGCTTCTTCTTGAGCCACTCCTTTGTTGCCTTGGCTGTGTTTTGTGAGTGATTGTCTTATTCACACATACCCACATTGTCATACCTATCCACGACCCATTTTCAATGCCCTTGCTGAGGGAAGGAGGTTCTCACCCAAGATTTGATGGTACATGGCCCCGTCCATCGTCCCTTTGATGCTGTGAAGTTGTCCTGTCCTCTTAGCAGAAAAACACCCCCAAATCATGTTTCCACCTCCATGATGGAATGGTGTTCTTGGGGTCATAGGCAGCATTCCTCTTCCTCCAAACATGACAAGTTGAGTTGATACCAACACTTTCACCCAGTTCTCTGAATCATTCAGATGTTCATTGGCAACATGGACCTAGACATGTGCTTTTTTGAGCAGGGGGACCTTGTGGATGCTGCAGGATTTCAGTCATTCATGGTGATGATTATGGTCCCACCAGCCTTGAGATCACTGACAAGATCCTCCTCATGTAGTTCTGGGCTGATTCCTTACTGTTCTCATGATCATTGAAACGCCACGAGGTGAGATCTTGCATGGAGCCCCAGACCGAGGGAGATTCACAGTTATTTTGTGTTTCTTCCATTTGCGAATAATCGCACCAACTGTTGTCACCATCTCACCAGCTGCTTGGTGATAGTCTTGTAACCCATTCAAGACTTGTGTAGGACTACAATCATGTCCCTGACAACCTTGGACAGCTTTTTGGTCTTGGTCATAGTGGAGAGTTTGGAATCTGATTGATTGATTGCTACTGTGGACAGATGTCTCTTATACAGATAACAAGCTGAGATTAGGAGTACTTCCTTTAAGAGAATGCTCCTAATTGCAGCTCGTTACCTGTATAAAAGACACCTGGGAGCCAGAAATCTTGCTGATTGTATAAAAGGCACTTGGGAGCCAGAAATCTTGCTGATTGATAGGGGATCAAATAATTTACTCATTAAAATGCAAATCAATTTATAATTTTTTTGAAATGTATTTTTCTGGATTTTTTTTATTGTTGTTGTTATTCTGTCTCTCACTGTTAAAATAAACTTACCATTAAAATTATAGACTGATCATTTCTTTGTCAATGGGCAACTGTAAAAAAAATCAGAGGATCAAATAATTTTTTCCCTCACTAAGCCCTCCTGGAAAGTCTGTGCAAGGCTGTAGCCTTTAAATATTTTGGATGAGATAAATGATATACCGTGGAACAGGCTAGGCTAGCGTCTCTAGAACTCCATTATAACCTATTGCTATGGATTCCCCTCACACTGCCATTTAAAACAAAACCTTCAATCTTTTCCATTTTCTGTTGCATTTAAAACAAAGCCATCAATATTTTCCATTTTCTGTTGCAGTGACACATTTCAATATTTCAATAAGTTACAGAAAAGGCGGCAGTCAGAGGCAGCTAACTTGTGGAATGAACCAGCAGACTCTGCTCATGTGGAGCGGGGAGATGATCACGAGCTTCACAAGCTGCTAGAGAAAAGGTCAAAAATGCGCCGTGGGTCAGAGGTAAGTTGCCCTCATAGTTGGAGCTCTTTCTTTCATATGGAGCTGAATTTAATGATGTGGAATTCAGCCACATGTAGCTTGATATAGAGGCTGATATAGTGAGTAGTTTCTTGTGTTGTATGAAAGTGGTGAAGTGTGTGTCAAGAATGTTCATAAACAAGAATGCTATTGCTGCCTTGAGCCAAGAAAATAAAGTGATGTAAATGTATAAATTGGTCTTTTTAAGTTATTCTGAGAATGCTTGTGGCTACATCTAATTATGGCTGGGTTTGCCATGTTGTCATTCCATGAACTGCTTTGCCCATGACTTCTAGAGCTCATAAATATTAGAAATGTGATTTTGATTACTCCTCATCCTCAGGGCACTGAAACTAGCTAAATAACATGATGCTGTGCAGTGCTACAGAAGGGGGTGGAGGGGGGTATTCAAAATTTTCTACCAAATGGCCATGATTTCACCTGAGAACTGCAACTTTACCTAAACAGACAAGTATTTTATCCTAAAATAGGATATAAAAATAATAAATCAAGCTCAAGATGCATTGCACTTTAAAATGGTCCAGACAGATCTGGGTTATGGAGGTCTCATTGCAAGGGTGTCTGGAGGAAATGGTTTGTGTGTGTGTAAATAAAAAAAGATGTTGATCACAGCCATGTAATCCAAGCATGTGTTATATGATTGTGGCTAACATCTTGATCTTTATGACTTCCCTGTGGACTTGGTACTTGATGGCTTTTATTGCTACAAGCCATATGCTACTAGCAAAACAATCAGGTAGATGGAAGGAGAATGGAAAAAAATCTAACCTTTGTTTGACAAAACATCATCAAAAAGGGATAATGATGTCTCTGAAATCTGGATTCATTGTTTAACTGCCATTCTCTTTCTGGGCCTCCTGGTTCACGATTTCAGTACTGACTTCTGAAATCCTGCATAGTTTAGGAACAAGAAACACATTTTGTTTCAATGTGGTTGCTTTTGTCATCTTTGGAGGCACTTCTCCAGAGGTCTCCAACAAATGGAGCAAAGTGGGTAGCTACAAGGAACAGGTTCTTTGGAGTGACAGCTCCCCCTTGCATTCTGTGGAAGGAAAGTAAAGAAGAGGATGATCAGCACCAAAATGGATGGATTCAATAATAGTGGTACTGAGTGCACTCTTGGAAGACCTGAAAGACAAGGTGAGGGACAGATCATCATGGAGAAAGCCTGTTTATGTAGTCACTAAGAGTCATCAATAACTTGATGGCATGTAATAATCAATTGATTGTATTTTTGTTATTTCTTTAAAGAGTAGATCTAACAATTGTGGTTGAACCAGAAAATTCAATTATTGTGTGGATTAGAAGTAAAAGTATTATTGCTGCTCATACCAATCATTTGTTCCTTTTTCCTATACAAATAAGTATAACGATTAATTGTAACCATAATCCTTAAATAGGGGGAGCAGAGATCTTATCTGAGTACAACACATTCGTATCTGTGCACATGCATGCCCAAAGCCATTATTTAAAGTTGGAATTTCAGTGGCATCTCCTAATGTACCCACCTAATTCCACTCTATTTTTTCTCTGTTAAAGATAGTTTTCATGAAGAAAAAGAAAAACCTGATATACTGCAAAACAACACTAGTCTCCAGAATAATCCTAATTCCCAGAAATCCAGATTATATATAAATCCAAAACTATTCTTAAATGAATAAAAATAGAAAATTACTCTAGCCCAATGCTTACTTTGTATGTGTGTATCTTGGAGACTTAAGAGGGTTGTAAGAATCAACTTACTGGTTAACTTTCACTGGTATTTCCTGACGGGGTTCAATCATTGTGGTAGCCATGTTGTGAATGGATATACACCCTGCACAACAATTAATTTTGATAGTGCATAATCTATTCTCAAAATATTAATGTGTCCTCTGGTTCCACAAGGTTGGAGATCTCTGTTTTCATGCCTCTGTAAAATCTAGCTGCTCGCACAGATATGCCTTGCCCTCTATAAGAGCATTTATTTTGCTGATTTGTATAGCTTGGGGGTTCTTTTTTTTCCTGTTCTCCTTATTCTGATAAAGGGATACCGACGTTTGAGCTTTGACATCATTGCCCACCGACAGATCCGTCGAAAGGTAAAGGATAGATGGAAACATATCTTGGAAGTCTTAGGTAAGTGTGTTGATAGTGAACATTTTCCTGGTTAGAGTTATCTGTGTCATTAATTTATTTAACTATTGTACAACGTTTTCGACAGGGAGAAGTGCGAATCAGGTATTACACATCTTGCAGTCATGCAAGAACAGAAAGGCACCCAAGAAGAGAAGCCACCTTCTGGTTGGTGATTCAATTATAAGGAATGTAAATTTAGGAAAGGACACAGAGGTTTCAAATGAGGTCAGGTGTCTTCCAGGTGCTACTGCCAGTAGGGACAAGAAGCGTATTTGTAAAATAATCAAGAATGCCAGCAAGGATTATGATGTGGAGGCTATTGTACATCTTGGCACTAACGATCTGTCCCAAAAAGATATACTCACTGTGCAGAATGACTTCCAGAGCATGGGGCAGGAACTTAGCAGAATAGGCTGTACGCTTATTTTTTCAGAGGTCTTACCAGTGTATAAAGACCAAAATGGAAAAGGCCAGCGTATAGCACAATTCAATATGTGGCTAAAGGAGTGGAGTAAAGGGGAAGGCTTTGGATATATTAGTCACAATGTCAGCAGCTGGTCCAATGAAGAAATGTACAAAAGAGATGGTTTGATTCCATCAAAGAAAGGGACTGAGTTACTTGGCTATAAATTCACAGATTTTCTGGAGGAATATTTAAACTAAACAGCGGGGACAGTGAGCTAACTGATACAGAACATCCCTGTCCCTGGCAATCTAAAAATTATAGGGCTATCAGTGCATGTAACAGCGAGTGCCACACAAAGTGCACTAACCAAATAGGTGGTAAAACATTAGTGGAACTCAGGCACCACACAGGTTATGTAGGAAGTAAACACAGGGTCGGTCATAAAGGACTCAAATGTCTATACACAAATGCACAGAGTATGAACAGCAAACAGGGTGAACTAGAAATTAAGGTTAATGAGGGCAGATATGATATTGTTGCCATAACGGAAACGTGGGACGAAACCCACAAATGGAACACATAGCTAGAGGGATTTAAATTATTTAAAAGAAACAGACCAAATAAAAGAGGAGGTGGAGTTGCTGTCTATATAAGAAATAACTACATCTCTACAGAAATAGAGCACAACAATGATGAAAACTGTCCTATATGGGTCAATATAAAAAGGGGGGGGGAATGACATTGCCATAGGTGTATACTATAGGCCACCCAACCAAAAACAGGAAATAGATTAACTTTTTGTTAGTAAGCTAACTAAGGTATGTAGGAAGCACATCACAATAGTAATGGGGGACTTTAACTACCCTGACATCAACTGGGAGACAAACTCTGCACCAAGTGGAAGATCAAACAGGTTCCTGGCAAACCTAGAAGACAACTTTGTCTCCCAAAAAGTAGAGAAGGGAACTAGGGGATTAGCCATTTTGGACCTAATTCTCACTAACAAAAATGAAATGATAGAACGTGTTGAAGCCATAGGAACCTTGGGAGGAAGTGATCATGCAATTCAACATTAGGGAAGCACAAGCAATAGAATACAGTCAAACTAGAGTCTTGGACTTCAAGAGAGCTAATTTCAATAAACTTAGAAAGGGTTTGGGAAAGATTCCATGGATGAGAATCCTCCAGGGGAAAACAACTCAAGAGGCTTGGGAAATTTTGAAAAGTGAGATAATAAATGCCCAGTCTAGCATAATACCAGCAAAGAGGAAAAATAACAGTTCTCAAAAGAAACCAGCAAGGCTGCATAAAGAACTCTCTGATCAATTAAAAGATAAAAAGGACAAGTATAGAAAGTGGAAAGAGGGACACATAACTAAGTCAATATCAGCAAATAGCCCGAGCCTGCAAAGACGAAGTGAGGAAAGCTAAGGCTCAAAATGAACTAAGGCTTGCAACCAAAGTCAAAAACAACAAAAAAAGCTTCTTTCAACATGTAAAAAAACAAGAAAAAAGTGAAGGAAAGGATTGGTCCATTAGTGGGTGAAAGTGGCAAGGTGACAAGCAACAGGGAGAAAGCAGAACTATTTAACTCGTTTTTCACATCTGTCTTTACACAAAGGGAAAAAACAGACCAACCTATAAAAAATAGTGCTATAAAAAACAAAATAGAAATACAAGTTAAGATAGGCAAGAAAATGGTAAGTGAACACCTGTCCAGCCTAGACAAGTTCAAATCACCAAGACCAGATGGATTACACCCCAAGGTTCTTAAGGAACTGGCAGATGTGATCTCAGAACCACTGAACTATATTTTTCAAAGATCCTGGAGCATTGGGGAACTACCAGAGGACTGGAAAAGAGCTTATGTAATTCCCATCTTCAAAAAAGGGGAAAAAAAGGACCCAGGAAATTACAGACCTATCAGCCTGACCTCAATACCTGGGAAGATTCTGGAAAAGATAATCAAACAACGAATCAGCGAACACCTACAGGCAAACAAAGTCATTACTAAAAGCCAACAGGGGTTTGTCAAAAACAGATCATGCCAGACAAATCTTATTGTATTCTTTGACCAAGTGACAAAATTAGTGGACCAGAGGAATGCTGTGGATATAATTTACTTGGACTTCAGTAAGACATTTGACAAAGTAGACCACAACCTACTACTTGAGAAGGTAATAAAATGCTGGTTAGACAGCATCACCACCAGATGGATCCAGAGCTGGCTGACCGGCTGTACTCAGCGTGTGGTCCTCAATGGAACTGCATCTACATGGAGGGAAGTGTGTGGTGGGGTGCCTCAGGGCTCTGTTCTGGGCCCAGTGCTCTTCAACATCTTCATCAACGATCTGGACAAGGGGATAGATGGAGAACTCATCAAATTTGCAGACAATACCAAGCTGGCAGGAATAGCCAACACTCCAGAAGACAGGCTTAAGATACAGGAGGATCTGGACAGACTTGAACACTGGGCGCTATCTAACAAAATGAAATTCAATGGTGAAAAAAGTAAGGTTCTACATTTAGGCAAGAATGTACAGGTATAATATAGGGGGTACCTTGCTCAATAGTAGTAACTGCGAGAGGGATCTCGGAGTCCTAGTGGACAATCACTTAAATATGAGCCAGCAGTGTGCTGTAGCTGCCAAAAAGGCTAACACAGTGCTAGGCTGCATTAACAGAGGGATAGAATCAAGATCACGTGAAGTATTAATACCATTTTACTATGCCTTGGTAAGACTGCACTTGGAATACTGCATCCAGTTTTGGTCACCACGATGTAAAAAAGATGTTGAGTACAGAGAAGAGCAACAAAGATGATTAGGGGACTGGAGGCTAAAACATATAAGAAACGGTTGCTGGAATTGGGTATGTCTAGTTTAACGAAGAGAAGGACGAGGGGGGACATGATAGCAGTGTTCCAATATCTCAGGGGCTTCCACAAAGAAGAGGGAGTCAAGCTATTCTCCAAGACACCTAAAGGCAGGACAAGAAGCAACGGGTGGAAACTAACCAAAGAGAGAAGCAACCTAAGGAGAAACTTCCTGACAGTCAGAACAGTTAACCAGTGGAACAACCTGCCTCCAGAAACGGTGAATGCACCAACACTGGAAGTTTTTAAGAAGAAACTGGACAGCCATTTGTCAGAAATGGTATAGTGTTTCCTGCCTGATCAGGGGGTTGGACTAGATGACCTCCAAGATCCCTTCCAACTTTATCATTATTATTATTATTATTATTACTACTACTACTACTACTACTACTACTACTACTACTACTACTACTACTACTATTATCTTTTATTCTAAAGGAAAATTTAAAAATATAGACAGGACCTCAGATACTGTTTCTGTTGTTTCAGATTTAAATATAAAATACCAATAAGAATAAGATTAAGGTTATTTTTGCATTGGCTGAGATATTGTGGGATGTTAACTAATATCAGCAAGTACAGTTTGATGCAAAGAATTAAATCTGCCATTGTCTATTGAAAATAACTGTCAATTGGTTGACTGCAATTCTGACAAATAAAAAGAAAAAAGTATCTATGGAAAGAAGGCTTCTATGTAGAGCTTTAATCTAACAAAAGTTATTAAAAAAATCTAGAGAATTAAATAGAATATATGCAATTTGCCCTTATTATATAGTATTGCAAGGTCTAGTAAACTCAGATAATTGAAACAGCAATTTTCAAAATATTCCAGATCTCAAAATCTGTTAGTTAAAAAAAATCTTGGAATTCCTGATCAACACTCAGAACAATAATGATTCAAAAGTGATTATCTTTAAGCAAACTTTATCTGTCTGTCTGCTTATCTCTTTCTGTGTGTGTGTGTGTTAAACTGATATAAAAGAACAATGATTAAGCTGGTATTAGGCCTGGGGGGGGGGGGAATTCTTCTGCTTCTCAGATGCTAAATTTGGGCTGCCTGACCAGGAATTTACTGTAGAATTTCCCTCTATTGCCTTGAACCTGTGTCTTTTTTTAAATCAGGCTTGGCCCTTGGCAACTGCCTGGACTAGTCTCTTCAGTCTTCTAGGGAATGTCTTTCATAAATGGTTTGCCATTTCCCTCTTCCTATGGCTGAAAGAAGTGACTGGACCAAAGTCAGCAAGCAGGTTTCATGCTTAAGACTGGACTAGAACTCGTGGTTTTCTGATGCTTTTGTTACCTAATGCTTTAACCACTACATAAAAATGGCTCTCTCATTGAATTTAGAGGGATCCATGCTTCGGTATCTTCATTCTTGGGTTTTGTAAGACTTCATACAAGTGGAAGATGGAATTGCAGAAATTTCAGCTACACAGGACTATAAGATTATATCCTGGGACTAGTCTAGACACTTTCTACCAGTGCTTTTCACTTGCGCTTTTACTGAACAACATGGCACTGGAATTCTAAGATAGAACATTTTTTGGACCTTTTCAAATTACAAAAGCCATGCACCACACCCTTCCAGCATCTCCCTGGATTAAGGAAGGACATGGAAAACTATTTTTGATTTCAATACATACGGGAGGATGGCAGATATCATTTTTGGTGCAATTGATGTTCTAATGTTTTCCCTTGCTGTATACTGTACCTGTCTGAACTTTAAGATGATTTTCTGTAGCTTGTTTTATGGTAGTTAAAGTTAGATGATTATTGTGCTGTACAAAGGTTTTTTCTTTTGTAGTTTATTGATTATAGAGGATCCCTTGGTGTCAGATAAAAGCTTTTTATATGTTCCAGGATGACTAAATAGTAATTTGAAATTTGGTGAAATATCTTTGCGTATTTGTTTGAAGGTGTATTTTCATATTGACTTCTCTGACAGTACATATAATTACAATAGAGGAAGATCATTTAGTGAATTGCTATGAATGAAATATGGGGGTTAATAATATTTCCCAATATAGGGTTCAAAGCTGAAACGGATGGCCTACTCACTGTAACTTCCTGTACTTCTTATGAATCTCTCCACAATCCTCAAGAGGCCCGCAGACTCCACACTATCCTGGCTGAACAGACATCAATTTATGGTCATCATGATGGTGGTCCACCAGAGAGATATCTCTTTGTCCTGGTGAGTAGGGAGAAAACTATAGAAAATATGCTATTTCTACAGTGCCATGTTAAAAGAAGCTCTGGATATTATTCACAGCATCATGGAAACTATTTTGGAGGATAAGAACAACAGCTGCATTTCTCCTAATTAATTGAAACTTGATGTAGGTCTTCCCATAATGGTTAACCTAATGTGGAGCAGATGTAAGTTGATTCGTTCTAATGTACTTTGTGGTTCAAAGCCTGGAAAAAAAATATTTTGAAAGGTAGTCTGAGGCAAAAGCAGTCTATTTTAAAGTGGAGAAGTGTTAGAAGACATTTGAGGCAACTTTAACAAGAATTACTATTCTGTCACCCCGCGAAGGTTATACGAACAGCAGTAAGAATTAATCCTTAAGCTATCATCAACATAACTGAAATCATTTGTGGAACACACATTATAATCTATACTATACCATACCATATATATCATTATATATGATATAATATCATTATATTATATCACATTATATCATATATATATTTATAAAAGGTTAATTAAAAATAGAACAAGAGAAATCTCAGGGTCTTAGTTTAGGTACCCTTTTTGATAGAAAAAGAAAGCAATGAGATATCAAAAGGAAGAAAGAGGCAAACATTGGGTGGTGGGACTGAGAGGAATTCTATTTGCAGCTGCCATTGTCCTGCTTTCAGGATGCTGAGATAGACAAGAGATGTTTCTGAGCAGGCCAAAAAAACCAAGATGGTGGTCATGACCTACAATTGAAGCCCCGTCCCTTTTTAAATATACATTGCCTGTGCAACTGTTAGCCTGCAAGACCATTCTGACTCCGGATTAGGAGTACTAGCTCTATCATTATTGTAAGGTTACATTAACAGAATCTGGCAAGTATGAAAGTATTTCTCCCTCCTTTCCTTTTACTCTCCAGAAAACTAGGAATGGTTCCTTCTGAAACATTTCCACACGCTTCCTCCTTCTGTGGGGTTGATATATCTTTTACATACCAATTGTCCAGTCTGTAGCTATTCCTTTTGTCTCACAAGATCATTCCCACATATCCTTACGGCAACACATAAAAAGGAGCAAGTGTTTGACAATATGATCATCCTCCAATGAGAATAAGATCCTCTATCTTGACCTTTTTGATGCCTTTCCACAGGCACACCTGGCTTTCGCCACCAGATACATGCTTCAAAACTATGGATGACAAAAGACAGAGCAGCAAAGAGTTTTTCTAGATCTCTTTGCTGCCATCTAGTAGCAGGAAGTGAGCATTATTTGGTGGAGAGGATAAATCCTTTATTTTCCAGCAATGCCAATGAAATAGTTTTCTTGGTTGCGCTGTTCCTAACAAGCCATACAGGGAGAGAACTGAGAAGCTGCTAGAAATAGGGCTGTGGCTGCTTGAAGCAGAAGCCCAGAAAAATTTCTTTAAAATTCTCCAAAGCCTTGTCTGGTTCTCCCTAGACCAGGGGTCTTCAAACCTGGCTCTTTTATGATCTGTGGACTTCAACTCCCAGAATTCCTCAGCCAGCGTGCCTGGCTGAGGAATTCTGGGAGTTGAAGTCCACAAGTCATAAAAGAGCCAAGTTTGAAGACCCCTGCCCTAGACAATTCATTGAGAAGGTATCTGTCTTGTGAGGCCTGAATGTGGGCAGGAAAGGAGGGAAAGAATATTTTCTGCTCAGTTTCATTCCAATATCCTCTGTTTCTCTCTTTACAAAATGTGGATCTGTCATTTCAATCTTTGCAAATGTAATAATATATTTTTATGTCAATGAAAAAATCACCTTAATTGAACTGATTTTATTGTTTGTTTGTCATTGTGCTTTTATTGTATTAAGTGGTAATAAGTTTGCTCCCAATCTTTCCCTCAGCTTCTGCTGATAACTAGACCACATTTTAAAATCAAAAGCTATCTCCTTCAGTTTATTACAAAATAAAATTTCTTATGCTCTCCCTTTAGGAGAGATTTAAATGGAATTCTTTAATCCCTCTGAAATGTTAATTTTCTTAGGCTTGCACCAGGAAAGATTTTGAATTTTCTAGATTCCAAAATGAATTCCTTTAAGCATTTTTTGTTCCCCACTCACACCAAAAATGTGGAGGAAACACTGTGAACAGTATTTTAAAAAATCAAATAATGAAAACTGGCAAAACTAATACTACATTTAACAAATAGTTTGAGAGACCTATCACTCCAGAACTACTTCAAAAATCTTTATCTCCTTTTGTACAATATTTTCATACTTGCTATACCTCAAAGTTTTATAAGATGGAAATGTAATGTAATCTAGGATTTACTGCTAATGGGAATTTTTGTGATTTGAGTCATTTCTTATCATATTTCTAATGTATTTTTTCACCTTCCCTGTGTTTCCATTATATTCTAATTTCAGGACCGGCTTATTCTTCTTGATGTGGGAGATGATTTTCTGTCAGCTGCACGTCACTTTTATCCTGCAAAGGAAGAAGAAGACAACATGTCTTCCAGTGATGGAGGCCCATCTACTCCTGGTCCCATCTTAGTACAATTAAATAATGAAACTCAAAAAGAGGCTGAAGTAGAAGAGGGGGAGGAATTAAATGAGGACTATACACATTTTGGAGGGGCAAAAGGAGGAAATTGAAGAATCTGAGGAAAGTACCATGAAGAGAAACGAACTCAAATCATTTAGTACAGACCTATGAAGGCTTAAAACAGGGATTCTCAACTTTCATTTCTTAAATTCCATTAATTATCGTAAGAATTAGGACCCACATTATACAAAATAAAAAACCCCATGTACTGACAATGACAGCTGTATATTTACAAGTAATCCGTTACTAAATTATCATGTACAGTCAGTTTTAAAGACTTGAAATTTCAATTAGTTATTCTGTGTCCCATATAGAGTACTTCTGAATCCCATTGATGCTATTATTGAATCTAGGTAACTACAGTATGGACTTTTTAAAAAGTCATTTTTCATATAGTAAACTTACATTTCCTCATTTCCCATTTTCTTTTTATTATTATAGCATCTTCTAACGTGATCTTTGAAATGTATACTATAAGTAAGTCACTGTCCCTTCTAAATGATAAAAGTAGGAAGTGGTAAACATTTGGGGATAAATAACGAAGCAGAATTATCTTTTTTTCTCTATAACAGTGATGGCGAACCTTTTAGAGACCAAGTGCCCAAAAAACTGCCCCGGCCCGCCCACTCCACCACCCACCTCACCCCTGGCCCACCCACAGGGCCACCCACTGTCTCCATGGCCCGCCACAGATCACCCAGGCAGCCCTGCAGCACCATGGTGGCCACGCCCTCTGCCCGCGCCCCACAGCATCATCATGAACAATGGGGCGGGAGGGCAGAGTCTTGTCCCTGCTGCCCGGTTGCCATGTGCTTGGCTATGGTGCTCTGCACGGGCCGTGCCCATGTCGAACTCTCCAGTGGTGTTGCTGCTGAGGAGGGGGCCACGGGGGGAAGCGGGGCTTGGGTGAGGGCGCCTGTGCCACAGAGAGGGCTCTGTGCCACCTCTGGCAGGCGTGCTATAGGTTCACCACCGCTGCTCTATAATTTAATGTCTCCACACTGTTCTTTGCTACTGTTGGCTGATACTTTATTTTGCATTGTGTTCTACAAAACTCAGAGTCATGTTATGTCAGGCACAAGAAATGACCCAAGGAGCTGATCAGAGTGGTATGTTTATTGCAGCTTGTTTATAATCTAGCCAGACTAAAGCACTCACCATACAACCACTAGATAAATACCATCAAGTTTTAGAGAGGATCTCCTTTCAGCTGCTTCCTTCCCATCAACTCATGTCTTAAATTCCCCCATATTTTACTTTTCATTTGTGGTTATGAGAATGAGAAATGTTAAACTCTCCAAAGATACCAATCACATCACCCATCCTTCTTACCCAACACAATAAGCCCACCTTAAGAGTTTTTTTCTCCCAAAGATGCTTTTTTCCTGAGGCAAGTGGACTTTCTTGTTTTTCTTTGAAGACGTTTCACTTCTCATTCAAGAACTTTCTTCAGATCTGACTGAATGATGGAGCTGAAGAAGCTTCTTGGATGAGAAACAAAATACCTTCAAAGAAAAACAAGAAAGTCCAGTTGCCTCAGGAAAAAAGCATCTTTGGGATAACTATGACCAGGATGACTGAGAATCTCCATAGATACTTAAGAGTTTCTTGTATAACACAACAATATTTCATCTGCATGCAAGAATGGCTTCAGATACCATGCTAAGCCATGATTTAATTAACTTTGGTTTACTGAACAAATCAAAATTCCCTTATTCTAATTGATTTGGCTTTGCCTCTCACTGTATAAGTGGATATAAGCCTATGGTCTTAAAAGGCCATCTCCTAAAAAAATAAAATCTCTTCTGGAGATTTTAGCATAAACGTGAGCCTGGACAATTGTTAAACAAACCATCACAGAGCAGAGAGTGCAAAACCAACCACTGACTTTGGTGGCAGTTCATAGTTTTCATTCTATGGATCTTCATCATGGCACCTCTTTAGCCAGAGGGATCTGACTTTATAGTTCTGTCACCAACTATAAAACTGACTACTATATTTTCAAAATTGGGGTGGGTCATGCAAGAGAAGCCAAGGCTAGAAGGTGCTCTATATTCTTATGGGGACAATCTTATGTGATTTAGCCTGTATTTGTTTACATATGCTAAAATTCAAGGCCTTCGCTTCTATGCATTTCTATTACGTATATTTTTAATAATACATTTCTTCTTATTATTTTTTTAAAGGCATTATGCACAGTTCAGAAACCAGATACTGCATTTCTGGGTTCTGCATGATATCCTCATCTTCCCTTTTTATAAATAATAAAATACATAGTTCAAACTATGCTTGCCAGCCTATTTCTACTGAATTCCAGATATTTTCAGGCAGTATCTGGAATACTTTGAGTGCTGAAATATATTCAGTTACATTCATCTTTGCAAATTTGTTTGGTGATTGTTATTTTGCGGTTAGGATGCATAGATTCCAGAGTATGGATTTTGACTGTAAGGACCCAAGTATAAGGATTTTTATTAGCTTTGGCAACAAGATTATTATACATATAAAGATGGAAGAGTATTGAAATTCCCACAAGGGAGGAATGGATCATAAAACTCCCAGAATTAGCAGAAATGGCAAAACTGACTAGTTGGTCAGGGAGATAACAAAGTTTTTTTAACAAACTGGAAATCATTTATGGTTTTTGCTAAAAGAAAAGTGAGATAATGATCTATGGATTTAATGATTGAAAAATATGAATATATAATATGGGTTTGAATGGATTTCTGGAAGAGAAATCAACCAACCACCCTGTTGGTTTTCCGTAAGCTGCTTAAGACCTGGCTTTTCCGGCAGGCCTGGGGTTTATAAAATCTGACCCCTGGATGACTGTTCTTGTACTGTTTGTTTTGTTATGTTTTATGTGTTTTTTATTGTTAGCCGCCCAGAGTCCTCCGGGAGTGGGGCAGCTTATAAATTTTAAAAATAAAATAAAATAAAAATAGATGTGGAGATGATGAATTTGTCAATATCCATTTAAGAGAAGTTCAGAAGTCATTTTTTTAAATAACTTCTTTTTTTGAACCTATTTCTTTTTTTCTTTCTTTTCTATCTCTTTTTAGATGTTTTTTGCTTGATGCAAAATTCTGAATAAATACATTTTTATAAAGCACTTTTGTTAAGTTTAAGTATGTTTCTAATGGGAAATTATCTTTGACCTCCAGTAGGCTCAAAAATGAATTCAGATGACCAAACACTGACTAAATAGAAGATGAGTCTTATATACAATACTTAGATCATTTGTTTTTATAGGTGTTGAATAAAATCTACAAAATGTCTCAGTTGAGTTGATTTGCAGGCTATGAACAGCACGGCACAGAACTGGGTGTATGTGAAGCAAGGGAATGATGGGGAACTTTAGTATACAATATAAACTTGACATACTGTACTTCTGAAATAGTATTTCTCTGTACTTTGAAAGATGGATCCATTTTCTTTTACTTGTTTTTGCCTAGCCACATTTTCTGCTTCCTGGACACCTGTCCTCCTCTCATCATGTCTTACACAATCTCTGTGAACAAATTGTCCCTGTCACACAAATGGAGCTTGGAGACAGAATTGTGGCTGCTTTCACTAATCCTTCTGGCTCTGTAGCTAAATAGCAGAGCCTCTAGTTTCTCAGAGTAAAGTTTCAACTTTCGTTTCTTCTGTTTTCTCTCCCTACACTTTGTTCCCCTGTATTCCTCTTGCAAAAGCCCAGCAAGCTGGTTCTTAAGGTCCAGATCATAGAGATCAAGCATCAACCAAAAGAGTGAGAATAAATTGAGGAAACTGTTGGGCTTATTTTTCCTATCACAAACTTCCATCCCTCCTCTCACTATCTATTCCATCAGCTGCCAGCTACCAGCTGTCAACTAATACATTCAGTTAACAAGTCTTTTATCCAGCTTGTTCTGAATGGCTTCTTCCTTCCTTATCAAGGGATTTGTGGTTTTGCACTTTCCCAACAATCTTGACCTCCTGCAAAGGATTGTGAGTGTGTGGGTGAGGGTAATGGATATCAGCTGTTAAACTCAGGTTTCAAGAATCACACTTAGAGGGGAATCAAGTGGAGTAAACATCACTTGCATATATGACTGCTGCAATTGCTTTGAAATAGGCTGGTTTGTGCTCAATAGAAAGTTAAGGTTTTGCATGTGGGAATCACTGCAAATCTAAGCTGAGCAATGAGCTTCTGAGCTTTCCTTTTTTTACTCTCAAGTGCTAGGACATGGGTGTCAAACTTGCCACATAATGTGTCGTGACGTATTATGACTTTTTTTGCATTGCCGGAGCTGGGGTGGATGTGGCCTCCGTATGATGCAATCGGTCCACGGACCGGCAGTTTGAAACTCCTGTGCTAGGAGATGGAATAAAACAAAATTCTTGATCTTTTATTTCATATGATTTAGAATTTGTGGCTTAAAACAGGGCTTTTCAACCTTTTCACCCATTGTACCACTTTTAGGATATGGCAATATCCGAGTACCACCAGTCGCCTAGCAAGGTGTCAAAAACTTGATGACCAAAAAAAAAGGGGGGGGGGAGTGATAAACTACAAGTAGTCCTCGACTTACAACAGTTTGCTTAGTGACTGTTCGAAGTTACAATGGCACTGAAAAAAGTGCCCCCCAAGCCACAGCCGAGCAAGACTCCTGCCTGTCTGCCCGGCAGCGCTCTTCCTCCTTTCCAAGGTTTTCATTGTTGTGAGCATTTCTGTTGAGGATTGGCAGTGGGGGTGGGGTGGAGGGATGTTTGGTTTTTATTCCCCCCGTCTGCTGGGTGGTTGCAGCAGGTTTTGATTACTTCACATGACTCGGGACACTGTGACCATCATAAATATGAATCAGTTGCCAAGCATCTGAATGTAAATCACAAGACTCTGAAGATGCTGCAACATTCCAGTTGATCAGCGCTTCTTCTGAGCTCAGCAGAAGCACCAGGATCAGCGCCGAGCTCCAGCTGGAGCCTGGCGCTGATCCTGGTGCTTCTACTGAGCCCTGCAGCTCCAGCCATCTCTCGCTCAGGCTTGTGCAGTGCTGCCACCGGTTCAGCTCATTCCCCTCCCTCGCTACCACTTTTCTGGGATGGTCGCGTACCATCTGCCAGCTGCCAATGTACCATGGGTGGTACCCGTACCACTGGTTGAAAAGCCCTGGCTTAAAACATACACTTGATTATTAGTGCTTAAAGTTGACTGCATTAAATTAAAGTGTTTTAAATTATAATTCTTAGCTCATTTTTATTGACAATTCTAAACTGAGAAACAACCGAATTGTGATTCTCCTTACTTGAATGAAAGAAAAAGATTTTATCTGAAAAGCATAAATGCAGTATTTAATAATAATCTTTTGCTAATGCAATCCAGGCATTGTGTATCATTCTAGACACTATCTAGAAATATTATAAGTTCATATTTTAAAAGGGGATAAAAATTGAAACAATTAAGGAATTGAAAAGGTAAAAGCAGGAGACAGCCATAGCTGTAATGTTATCTATGACAGCAATTTCCTATATTTCATTAAGAATCCTGATAGCCTGTTCAGCACAGAGAAACTGTACCTACTCACACAATGACTTACTGCTCACTGACCTAAAATTGGGTAGTAGTCTCTGGCTTGAAAAGTCTTGAAAAAGGACAGAATTATCAATTATGAGTATTTGCTACATTCACTGAGATTCAGAAGCAGTTTATTCCTGGGGCAGAGAACTAGGAAACCATTAAAATTTTTATATTTCTACTAGTACACCTACTAGATTGGGACTGCAGAAATCTAGACTGCAACTAGAGAACAGCAAAGTTACTAGTCTCTCTCTATTTTTTTGCTTCCATCTAATGCCCAAATGTTTGTCACACTGATCTGGAGCTTAGAAAAATATGCTCACAACCACATCAGGAAATGGCTCCCATTTTGCTCAAAGCCAAGATAAAATTGTAAAGACTTAGACCAAGCTTTCTCAGTCTGACGCTCTCCAGATAATATTGGTTCTAACCAAAAGTTCCAGCCAACAAGTTTTTTTGTGATTTTGGGAAATGTATCTATGAGGCTTCAGTGGCAGAAGGTTGACTTTTCCTAATGTCAACTTAACTCTTCCTTTTGGATGGGGAGCCAAAATAGATGACCTTGTAGTCCCTTCTGATCTGAAAACATAAAAGCAGATCTGCTGAATCAGATTGAGTTCTAACTAGCCCAGCATCCTGTTTCCAGCAGTGAATGATGCTGATCTACCCCAAGGGGAATAAAGAAGAAACAGCTAATCCACTGTTTTCAAGTTGGGCTTTAGAGGCAAATGAGGTTGGCCCTCAGGAGCTACCCTTGCCCTGCCTGCATGTCCCTCTTCCAAACTGATCTTGTTCTGAGCACTTTGTGTGACTTGAGCAGATGTCAGTCCCCCCAAACCCAAGAAAGACACATGGTGATTCTTCCAAGGAGATTTTTTTTTATTGTTCCATGCCTACAGATAGAATTTTGCCAAACTGAAGCAGTCAACTATCTACTTCAAGAATATACTATTAAAACTATTAGGGAGGGGCTGTCTGGACTAAGCTGCCTCTTATTCTTCCTCCTGGGGAATCCAGCTTACTATATAGTACATTGCATCACAAGTAGAAGACAATTCGTACTCAAAATGGATGAGGAAAGAATAAATGGCTTCTGTCTCGTGTGTGGCTTCAGATAAATCTGTGAACTTAATGCAATTAGGCATCTTGAGATTTTCTCCAAGATGTTCTACATTTGCACTTAATCAGCAAATAGGCCAGAACTGTAGCTATTAGAAAATGGACAAGAAAAGAGGATCAAAATGACATTATAAGAATCAAATGAGATCATTTTGAATGCACAACTTATTGACACTGGAAGATATTTCTAGCAGAATGTTATTTTTAAAGAGGATCTTGAAGAAAATTGTGTGATAGGATGCAAGCATCCTGTGAGATAGGCCCAGACATTTTTTCTGCCCAGCGAATTGGAAAGCTTGAGACAAAAACTACAATTGGAAACTAGTGTAAAAGTGAGATTTGGGTAAATTGTAGTTGAAAGTATCACCAATTCACTCCCAGAATAATAGCCTTATTCATTTTGTTAATTTACTTAAAATATTAAGAATAATCATCACAGTTGTGGCATAATGAAGCCACCAGTAGTATGCATTATGATACATGAAAGCAAAACTACTACATACATTTACGCCACAATGTGCTTCTAGACCTGCAATATTCCAACCCATTTTTTTTCAGCATAGGATTATAGAAAAGAAAGGATCAACAGATGTGAGAAAAGTGAGATATCTTTCCACTTGTT